ATTTTGGTGAGCTCTTGCAAATTGTAGCCTCTTTTTCCTATTTGTAGTGGAGATGAGTGGTACCCGGTGGAGTCTTCTGCTGTTGTAGCCCATCCGCCTCAAGGTTGTGCGTGTTGTGGCTTCACAAATGCTTTGCTGCATACCTCGGTTGTAACGAGTGGTTATTTCAGTCACTGTTGCCCTTCTATCAGCTCGAACCAGTCTGGCCATTCTCCTCTGACCTCTGGCATCAACAAGGCATTTCCGCCCACAGAACTGCCGCTCACTGGATGTTTTTTCTTTTTCGGACCATTCTCTGTAAACCCTAGAGATGGTTGTGCGTGAAAATCCCAGTAGATTAGCAGTTTCTGAAATACTCAGACCAGCCCTTCTGGCACCAACAATCATGCCACGTTCAAAGTCACTCAAATCACCTTTCTTCCCCATACTGATGCTCGGTTTGAACTGCAGGAGATTGTCTTGACCATGTCTACATGCCTAAATGCACTGAGTTGCCGCCATGTGATTGGCTGCTTAGAAATTAAGTGTTAACGAGCAGTTGGACAGGTGTACCTAATAAAGTGGCCGGTGAGTGTATATATAAACACACATATTATGTTAAAACGCCCTATATGACGGCGTTTGGCTGTAAACGCGATTCATTTATGGCGTAATTCTGAACCTCTTGGCTTGCCATACTAATCCTAACCAAACGTATAATACACACGCACCCCACATCACTACTAGACCTACCAATGTGTTTCCTATGCATGTAAAAACTAATTTTCGCGTATAAATTGCCCGATAAACACACTGCGTGCTATAGAGACGCATTTAGTGTGACCGGGTTGATATATCTATGGCAACCAAACTTCACTGGTGAGACAGAAACGTGCGATGAACGGACGGTCAGGAAGACGTTTTGGCAGGGGAAAACTGATCAGAAAATGTAACGAAAATGTAACAGAACGTTGTAGAAATGTAGTGGAGTAGAAAGTATAATAATTGCTGCAAAATGTAACGAAGTAAAAGTAAAAAGTATGCACTATTGATTCTACTTAAGTAAAGTACAGATACGTGAAAAATTTACTTAAGTAAAGTAACAAAGTATTTGTACTTCGTTACATTCCACCACTGATCTTTGGTCTAAAGACCAAAATATCACCTGAGGATGCAGGACTCCTTTCACTTGGACCAGTAAGAAGCCACCCTAAACAGCCTAGCAACCACATAGCAACAAGACAAAAATACAGAAGAAGAAAATCATTTTATTGCAGCGGTGGGTTTGCATGGATAAGCAGAAGCACTGCCATTTTCTTCAGACAATCTGGTTAATATTTCTAATATAACTAACCCCCCTCAATTTTGCCCTTTCTTTTAGTTTTTCCAAGTTGTTTGTTCCTGGTATTCACAGTACAGAGAGCTGAAATGTGCCGATGAGAGAATGCGGCGCTGCACGAACACACACCTGCTGTCAGGCTAACACCCAAACGCTCTAAAAATACGCTTTCTGGCATCTTAGAAACAGCCTGACCTTCAAAACAACTCCAAATATATATATATAACATATGTTGTTTAAAATCTGATGCTCTGAAGCAGGCAAGATTAATTGGGTAGTTGACAAATAACATGATCTTTTCATTCTGCAACCAATTTTAGGTGCTATAACTAACTAGTGTCTTTTTCCCACAATTTTTTAATCACATTTTAATGATGCTACCAAAGTCTGGACATGAAAAATGTTGTTTCAAATTGTTTTAGATGAAGTATGGCATGTCACACTGTTTCCATCCACCTATTTTTATACACATTTTGGGATGTCGCATAAAAACAATGCTGGATAGAAACACCAAAATGCGCATAAATTCAAATAAAAATGTATACGCTCAATAAAGGTGGATAATTTTTTTGATCTGATAAGACAACTACGATGGAAACACATTTACCGAATAAGTCCCTCGATGAGCAACAACAAACTGACGTGACTTTGCCTCAGCAGAGGCTGTGATTGGATAACTGGACTAACCAGCGGACCAATCGCATCGCAGCATCTCAAATGTTGGTTTTGTTGTTTGGAAATGATTGAGCTAAAGTCTGTCATCAGAATGATGTGGTTTAATCCAGAAGCGTCTCACACGATTAAGTTCTCAAGCACCAGCATCCGAACGCAAGAGATCATGACAGCGTTCATTGCACTTCATCTGCAGCTCTGAGACGCAGCTCATTTAGGATGGAGGAAAAAAGAGCCACAGTGGTTCCCCGATTGCTGCAACTCCTTTTTTATTACTGATTTTCTTTGGCGCCAATTTCCCAGGAAGTGACGGTTTTGTTTTCTTGAACACATGGGACGGAAACGCTGATCTATTCGCAAATGTTTATGCGATATTCATGCGTTTATGCGATATCAGAGACAATTTATATAGAGACATGCCACTTCCTCAATCCTCAATACAACTATATAGGGAAAACCCGTAACGCCAAAGATGGCGGTTGTATGCACATGCCCCGCCCCTCCCGCTGGAAAGCCAATCGTCTGCTTTTAACAGTCAAGCCGGGAAACATGTAAGCCTATCGTCTGGTTCCACTGACGCATGCGCACAGTTGAGGTTTGCGACAGCGGAGACGAGAACCCTTGCGCATGCGAAGTAAACGTATAACCTGTGGGGAAAAAGGCCTTTTGGGGCAAAGTCATCAATCTTTTTCAGCGATTTTTATCATATTTTACTGCTGTTTCTAAACAAGCAGTTTTTATGTCCTGGTGACCAGTGAAAGTGCAGTTCTGACTCTCTGCCCATTCATTTAGATAGGAGCCTGGTCTTGTTAGTCCGAAATAGCTGCCCGGAGGCGTTGCCAAGATGGCGGCCGAGTGGCATGACTTGCCTAAAAGGACTTTGGCGATATTCATGCGCAACTTTGGATGGAAACTTAGCTATTGACACTGCTTGACATGTCATTTCAACTGTCCAAATGCATAAAATAAACCTCGTAGAAGTCCATGCCAGTCAAGGGTGTTGTTTGGCTTCAGATGCCTTTGGAAAACAAGTGAAATCCAACTTTTTACACTAAATCCAGGCAGTGTCGAGTCTCCTAATCATAAGAAGCATGTGGGGATATTTATTTTTGCCTGTGGAGTCTATAAAGTCCTTCAAAGTTATTCTCCAACTGAGCCGTTGAGTGGTATCAGCCCCTCACATCCAATTCCAGAATTGATGTTCACCGAAGGCGAGAAACAGTGCAGACACCAGTGAGGTGATTTGTTAGATTGAACAAGGGTTTCTGGGGCGTGTATTGATTGTGTAACCTTCAGTCATGGAGCTGTGCTTTCTCAAGCCTTGACTTATGAAGCTGCTTCTTGGTAATAGACTTTGAGTTACTTTAACTTGAGGACAATGTGGCCTGAACTGATCTGCCAAAACCATAAAGGCTTGTTAACTCTTTCCCCGCCAGCATTTTTGATCATTCTCACAAGAGTTTCATGGCCCCCAGAATATATTGTTTTCTGAACATGCAATATATCAACAACAACAAAAAAAGAAAAGAAAAAAGAACCGAGCCTCTGCTGTTAGACAAAAACAATTCTAGCTTCATGCATTTGATCAACAACTGAATGCGGGTAAGTTTCATAAAACAACAACATTTTGAGCAAAAAAAAGCTGAGAAAATTGCGTTTTTCTCTAAGACCACATCTGGATCAGATTCAGAACGATGATCCAAACATATATGGAGTAGATCGAGTCCATCAACACCCCGAAAGCTTCACAGTCGCTCGTCCTGGGTCGACTTTTTATTCTGTAACATTAGGCAGTTTTGATTTATATGCGGTTTAATGTTGGTGATTGCGTTATTTTACATATGCATCTGCTTACATATGCTATCACTACAGTCCTCTTTCAGACGATGTGTAATAGCACACCCTACTGTATAACAGTGGAAACACAGAAAGCCAGAATATAGTTAAAGGGTTAGTTCACCCCAAAATGAAAACTCTGTCAGTAATTACTTTCCCTCATGTTGTTCAACCCCGTAAGACTTTCGTTCATCTTCGGAACACAAATTAAGATATTTGTGATTAAATCTGAGAGCTGGATCACTCCTCCATAGGCTTCTTAAGGGATCGAAACTGGCCGGCCGAAAAGTTATGAAAGACATCATTAAAATAGTGCGAGTGACTACAGTGGCTCAACCTTAAGTTTATCAAGCGACGAGAATACTTTTTGTGTGCAAAAAAACAAACAAAAATAACGACTTTATTCAACTATTCATTTCCTTCCCTGTTGGCCGTGAGATTTCACGTAGTGATATTGCGCAAAGCTTCTGTGTTGTACGTCACACGTAGGCTCACTATTGGCCGACGCTGGTCATGTGTGTGATGCGTGACGTACAACCTAGAAGTTTGCGTAGTTTCACTACGTGAAATCTCCTAATTGCGTGTTATAAAGTCAGAATTGCGAGATTATTTCTCACAATTACTAATTTATAACACACAATTGCGACTTTATGTGACGCAATTCTGAGAAAAAAAGTCAGAATTGTGAGATAAAAGCATCCATAAGAATCAGTGTTGTTATCGTTAAAAAAAAGAAGTGATTTTGGGGTGAAATATGACCTGCACATTTTTTCGTGGGATTCACCCACACATAGATGAGGTGAACAGTAATGAGTGAAGTGGCAGTTAACAAAATCCAGAGACTAACCCGAAACAGTCTCAAGTTATGACCCATGCTGTGGGAGCGTTTAAGGGTAAATCATTTCCATATGTCCTGAGGAAATAAGGATGAGGGCTTTAAATACCTCGGCTCTAGCCAGGTAATGTGTGTTAATGAACAGCAGAGGGTTTATTAAGGCCTAATTGGGGATTACACTGAAATGATTGACGTCAGATGGAGTTGAGGGGAAGGACGCCACATGGTACTGTTCATCGTGGCTACCGGTCTGATGTTTTGAGGGCTTCACAATTTTCCACACTAGTGTGAATTCAACAGTTCTATGAATAAAAGTGCTTGCGTTTGCTGTTTCTGCAGATATAGACGAGTGCTCCTTTGACCGGGCGTGTGACCACACATGTGTGAACTCACCTGGAAGTTTCCAGTGCTACTGCCACAAAGGTTACGTCCTCTACGGCGTGGCTCACTGCGGAGGTACGTGATGCATTATGGGATTGTTTTCTGGAGAGCTTTGTGAGTTTCAAGAATATCTAAACGTTCTGTAATCATGATACATTTACTTGAGAAGCAAAATCACTTAAGATATTAAGTCTTGTTTTCTGGTTTGAGTACCCTTAAAACAAATTAAATACGGGTGTAAGAAAAATTAAACAAGTTTTTTTTTCTTGTTTGAAGCGTAAAAGTGTGCATTTTGTTATCTAACATCATTTTGCTTCTCAAGTAAATGTATCTTGATTTAAGAATGTTTCGATATTTGTACTGGGAAAACAAGACACAAATATACTGAGGAAGAAAATCATTTTTCCAGTGTAGAGAAACTTCTAATAGATAACTCATGTTGGTAGACTCTCTAACTCTACCTCGGGCAAACACATCCAATGAAAACTGAGACTTTTCCTATATAAATGCTCTTTAGTTTCCTCGGGCAGCAGTCAGGACCCTGATCCAATCTTTAAAAGATGTTCAGAGCTTGGCGTAAGGCACTTAACTAGATTACTTAGCAAATAACATATATTTGCATCTGTGAAATAACTGATATTTACTACTTTTGGATGGTCAGTCTCTTGTACACTGCAAAAAAAGCACTTTTCTTCCTTAGTATTTTTGTCCTGTTTTCCAGTACAAATATCTAAACATTCTTAAAGGGATAGTACACCCTCAAATGAAAATGAAGTCATTGTACTTGTTCTAATGCAGTATGTCGTTCTTTCTTTTTCGGGTAATTAAAAAAAAAAAAAATGTCCCGCTCACGCTCGGGTATACGATAGGGTTTGGTGAAAAACAACCAGAAATTGAATGTAAGGAAAACCCTGACCTTGGCCGACATGCGTGTTCTTGAGACTCTATTAGTGCCTCAGTTCACTCCGACTCACCCAGAAAATCAAGATTAATAGATACGCAACATGAAATACGACACCTAGAAATCCCCAAAAAGTATCCATGTACTTACCATAGTTAAATATCTCCAGGCCATCACTCCATTTGTCTGATGACAGTCAGAATGACAGCTGACAGATGTGAACACGATAACTTTTTGTCGCAATGAACACGACGTACATATTCACCTCAGAGTACATGGACTGTATTTTATGTTGTGTTTTTGTTAATCTTGATTTCTCACAACTTGTGTGCTTTTTCTGGGAGAGTTGGAGTGAACTGTGACTTCAGGAAACAAGACTTAATATCTTAAGTCATTTTGCTCCTCAAGTAAATGTATCTTGATTTAAGAATTTTACTGGAAATCATGGCAAAAAAAAAAAAAAAAAAAAATACTAAGTATACGAAAATCTTTTTTTTTTTTTTTTTTTTTTTTTTTTTTTGCAGTGTAAATAACCAATTTCAGATAAAGCCCGTGTTAAATGGCTTGCAGACTCAAACCGTGGCTATCATGTGAGATGGTTTCTTCATGGGTGACTCTGGGCTGCTCCAGTGCACTTGTTTCAGGGTTGATTAAGCAGATGAGGACAGCTCATTTAGTGATATATGTGTCTTACTATTGTTGAGATGACCAGAAATAATGAATGTGTTTCTCTCCGTTAGCTTTTAGATAACACCTAGATTAATGAAGCGCTCTCTTTTGTCTACAGAGAATGGTCGCCATTTTCCCATTGACGGCTTATCTGCAGGGAAACGGATGTTAAAGATTGCCATATTATGTCCCTTTTCAGTCTTGATTTTATTTTTGGACTCTACAAGAATAGTAATTTTCTCATATTCTCCATTGTTGCAGTTCCTCTCTTCCCAGTCTGTCAGTAACGCTCTGTTGGATCCTGTAGCCCCTTCTTCTGAAAAGCACACTGTGTTCTGATTGGTCGGCTGGAGCAGTGTGTTGTGATTGGTCAAGCGCTTCGAGTGTGTTTGGGAAATGTCCCGCCCCTTTCCATAACCGCCAGTTTCAACACACTACTAACTAACTCAACCAGGCCCCGCCCCTTTATTCTGCGTATTAATTATTTAAATGAGGAATATTGTGACGTGTTCGTTCCCGGAAGAAACTCAAGACTACAATGGAGGCGTTTCAGGGAGTTCAGAAACACTGACACTGATATAGAGAATAACTTTGATACTTTGCAGAGCTTTTTCATGCTCAAACAGCAAAATTACACACTAAAGAAAGATGAACACGTTAAAAAGCACAATATGTCCCCTTTAAAGCTGCAACAGACTTTAGTTCAGAATTGATTGTTGCTGAGTTTACAGTAATCGTACACGTACAGTATTTTCAGGTTTTAGTCTTTCTCTATTCAAGTAGATGTGAGCTGGACTCACATGATTAGAAATAGCGGTCTGAGGTGTTACCAAGAAGGCCATCTACCCTGAAAGGGACTTTTTAGCTATAGAAGTGTCAGCCTAATGTTGATTTTCTCTTCCCCTGTCCCCGTTCCTCGATCTTTAAATTAATGAAGGCTCGGGATCCAGACAGGGAAAGGAAATGTGAAAGTGAAAGGTTTAGCCTGGAGCCGGTTCAAATCTGATGGGGAATAAGAGATCGACAAAGAGAAGGGAAACCAGACTAGCCTAGCAAGCAAGCTCTTTATTTCCTAAAGAAACTCTTTCACTCCCACTTTTCAGAAAGCAGATTTGTTGACTCTGTTTCTAATACACTCGATCAAACCTTTTTCCTCTCATTTGCCTTCGGATTTGTGGGGATTTTTTTCTGCTGCTGGTTTTGTTCCTTTTTCTACTGTAAAATAGTTTAGAGAGTTTATTAGAGTACGTTTTACAAGAAAATACTATTTCAGGTTTTCTACTTTAAAATGTCACTTTAATTAAAAAAATGACTTGGTTTCTTTGTAATTACTTTCTGTAAAGCAATTTCTGAGTGAAAATTGTTTCTACACCAATTTGTTTCTGTGAAAATTGCTAATGCCAACTTGTCTAATTTTTTATCTTAGCCTTTAGTCCATAGGTGCATCCCAATTCACGTACTTATTATTAACCTTTGTTTAACCTTAATTATTTTTTGTAGTGTAAAAAGTATTTTTCACACTGAAAATTCCAATAAGACTTTAAATATTCTAGATGATGCTCTTAATTTACCAAAAAAAAAACAAAGTGTGGGATGTTACATACATATACGGTTGACGTTTACATAGTGCATAGTTTGATTGATTTATAGTGCGTCATTTAGGACACAAGTCATGTCATTAGATCAGACCATGCCAGGTCAAATGGAGTGCAATGCATTGTGGGATACAGTGTGGTTGTGTACTGCAGTAGTTTATCCAGAGAGTCTGTGCATACAGTAAATTCAGTTGAATGCCCATATTTTTCTTTAAATCAATCAATCAATCATTTATTTGTAAAGTAATAACAAAGATAGTCGAAAATTGGGCTAAACAACATCAAGTTCTGGCATTCAACAGCACTGCACATTCACCATACAGGGGGAAGAAGGCATAACACAAATACATGCATTTAAATGCTTCATTTAGACTTTATTATAAGCCTTCTCAAAGAGATATGTTTTTAGTTTTTCTTTGGAAAGTAATGTTGTTCTAACAAATGGCCTTTATAAGGAAGATCAGATATTTGTAATTGTTTTGTTTTACAGATATCGATGAGTGCAGCATTAACCGGGGCGGCTGTAAATTCGGATGCGTGAACACTCTGGGCAGTTACGAGTGTACCTGTCCTGCTGGTTACAAACTGCTCTGGAACAGGAAGGACTGTGTCGGTATGTGGACAAGAGTGCCACCCAGAGGCCATTCAATGCCACTACAACATAACTGAACTCTTATGGTTCAGATGCAAATGCTTTCATAAATATGTCAATTCCTTGTCTTTGCAAAAATGATAGGACCAATGAGATGTTTTAATGCATTCTAATACAGGACAAATGGAATGTTATTAAGTCAAACCTATAGTTTCTGCACACCATACAGAAATCGTGAAATGTGCGTCCAGTCTGGTGTCCCCCAAAGCCACCCTCACTTGCAGTAAGACGGGGAAAAAGGAGAGCTGCTCTCTCACATGTGCATCCAAAGCACATTATCTATCAGGTACATACCAATATACTTCAGTATAACCACATAACACACTTGCCCATTCAACTCTACTGCCAATTGTCGTTTTACGCTTCACAGAATCAGACAGCAGTTATTCTGTGAGCTGTGGGATACCCATCCTGCGAGGTAAATCCCAGAGCAGATTAAACGCAAGCAACATCCACACCTGCATAGGTAAGATCACACACATGTCCTCTTAACACCTTCCATGTCTCAAGAGCTAATGAATATTGGTTATTAATGGTCCATATATAGGGTATCTCATTGTATTTCCTTTTAACAGTGTAGGAACCCATACTAGGTGAACCAATTTTTTGTTGTAAATAGTGTTAAAGAAACTGGTAAATGTATTAGCTACTCTATGTGTGTATCCATAACTATAAATCAACATTTGGCCATAAACTAGCTAGCTCTTGCTGAGTATCAGCTTAAGGCAAGACACTACAGGAAAAAATATTGTTTTTGTTGTTGTTGTTTTTCAGTCAATTTTGAGATTTTGGGTTTGGCTTTTCATAACATGTTGTTTCAGGCTAGTGGAAAGAAAACATTCAAAATACACTTTGAGAGTTTATATTATTGCACTTTATCTATATGCGGCTGCCGGCTGTAGATTTGAATTACAATATATACCTTTAAAGGGTTAAAAGTTTTTTCCTCCACTTCAGCAGCACTTATATACACTAAAATTTACAGATTTATTCCTACCTACATTCTGAAGGTTTTTACTGAAGGGTTTGTTCGTATAGCATTCACCTGATTTTATATCCTAAAAACATGGTGAAAATGTATTTTTTCCTGTCTGTTCACAGTATTTTCTGATTTATGGAGTGATAAAAAGAGATATCCAAAATCACCTCAGTAAAAACCTTTAACTCTAATATGTCAACAAAATGAAACAATAATTTTGAACATGGCTTTATCCAATGTTGAGATTTTTCTTCTGGAATTTAACACAAATTAGTGCACATTTTTTTAGACAGTGCCTCATTTAAATGTGAAAACTTGTAATACAAAACAAAATAACTCTTAATGTAATTAATCAAATGTTGGAAAAGTATGGTGATATTATTAGTTATTTGTTTAGCCTATTCATCTGTGGTGTAATGCCTTGATTAAGGCTTAACTTGTTCTAGTGTAAAAAAAAAAAATTTTTGTCTGATTAGTGTTGTTGTTTTTAATGGTAATAAATAAATAAAATCACAGTCAAAGGGTATTTAGACATCTTTATGGCAATGTGTGCCACATATATAATGAAAAAAAAAATAAAACAGATATTAACTCATCTCCTGTTTGTTACCAGTCAACATTTTGTAAATGTTAAGCACCTCAATTTCACCGATCATTAGCTGAGAAGGAGAAAAAAGTCATTTTCTAAGACATTCAGGCACTATTTCTGTATTTTGTTGAAAGTGCCAGCAAACAGAACCTGGAAACCGATGAGACGTTTCTTTTGAACAGCTGCAGCCGATGATTCCCAGAAACATAATGACAGATACATCACAGCTATCCAATTACATGATCACTTGATGCGCTTGGCAAATTAGAAACTTATTTACCATGCCTGATGTTTGTTTTGATGACAGACTCGTTTCACATTAGGATGCCTGTCACGGCACACTATAATCTCAAATTGCTGTTCCTCATAAGTGTTCAGAGTGAGCATGAAGCTAACATGAATCTGCTTCAAATGTTCAAAGACCACAAACCAGCCCAGCTGGTTTTATTTCTTCAATCAAGCGTGTTTAATGTAGCGAGCCAGCAGCTGTGAATGAATGTAGTTAGCTAGTAGTTGTCAGGAAGGATCATGTTGAGTTGTGTGTCAAAGCCTCTTTGTTTGGTTTAGAGACTCAGGCTCCTCCAGTGAAGCAGACGGCATCCTTTCGGATCAAGAACGCCAAATGCTACCTGCACCCGAAGCATAAGGGGAGAGCGGAGGACAACGGCAGACAGATCGGGCCAGGTCAGAGGTCATAGGGCCCAGGAAATGAAGGGTACCATATCATTTTGATGGTCCCTGTAGTGGAATAAGGTTATAGCAGAGGGAGTTGCATTCTTGTTTTGCTACATAAACAATGATAATCGGGACATTAAAGCTGCAGTCTGTAGCTTTTTTGGGGTTAAAAATGATCCAAAATACATATTTGAGAAGATACATAACCAGCCAGTGTTCAACGCTATCTGCTTGCCGTAGCTCGATTCAAAACGGTAAACTTGTAATAATGTTTTTAATTCCAGTACTGGTGGATTTCCGCGGGAGATTCGAGCATGTCTTTGCGTCATTACGTCACATCTGTACACACACATCTGTACACATAAAGAAGAGTCTCGGCTAGTAGGCTATATTGCGTGTGTGGATGCTGGAGGTGGAGATTTATAGCCTTTTCTCACAGCACTTGATATAAATAAACTTATCTATTTGATGGCGGATCCAGAAAGGTTCAAACGACAATCAACAGTGACAACAGATTCACCCGCTGTAAAATGCAAAAGACTTCGTTCGGACTTCGGAGTGGCTACAGAAAAAAAGAGACTTCAACCGGAACCATGCAAAAACAAGGATACATATCGGAAGGACAATACATGTAGTCACGCAATGCTGACGTTGTTAACATTAACAATTTGAGAACAAAGTATAATTTGCACAGTTTTGCGTAATGATAAGCGATTTTTAGATTTAATCAGCGCGATTTACTGCAATGTCAGAACCAGAACAAAAGTGGATGTTACTAGTTCAGATGACATTTTCCGGTGAAAATTATTATGTTGGTCATACTTTCAAAAAGAGTAATCTGTGATTCTGAATGCCAGTATCCACACCGGCGCGGTGACTGACACACACACTCTCCTCAAACATTGGATTCATCCGCGCTGTGCCGTGTCGAACTACAACTCACGTAAAGTTGATAATTCCGTGAATGACTGCAATTGCAGATTTCTAACAGAGATGGAGACAAAGAGGAAAAACTGCGGACTGCAGCTTTAAAGAGATAGTTGCCCAAAAATTCTGAAAACTCACCCTCATGTCGTTTCTAAACCAGTAAGACTTTGGTTAATCTTCAAAACACAAATTAAGATATACTGTAAAAAGTCCAGGTAACCAAAATGTAAAAGGTTATAAGCAAAAAGGTATCTTAAAAAGAATTCAAAGAGACCATTTTAACCATTTTACCATTTTAAACCATTTTAATTTAGGCTTTTATTTGCATCTAAACAAACAACATACATGCATACACAAACCTCATTGTTTTCATGCATCACAAAAGATGCATTTACTTGAGAGCCAAGATTACATTGGATACATTTTCTGATGCATCAAAATTAAGTGATGTATAACAAGAATAAAATGTCTGCTAACGGGATAAGAAAAATAAACTCGTTTTCCATTTTAAATCACTGTAAAATGTAATTCGTTGAGTTCACTTAGAAAACTTGTGGAAATTGATTGCCTTACGTTTAGCAAGTAAATTAACTCATCATTTTTGAGTTGATAAAACTTACTACCACTTAGTAGATGTGACTAGGGATTACTTAGAAAACTTGAGTTCTGGTAATATTATGATCAAAGTAGGGATGGCCCGATACCGATACTGGCATCGGGGATCGGGCCGATACTGTCCTAATATACTCGTACTCGTACTCATAAAAATTCGCCGATACCACGCACCGATACCACGTACATTTTGCAAAACGAAACTGGCCGCCGCGAGTGCTTTGTCGAGGTGAACTGAGGCATAGGAAAGTATAATGTCGGCGGTTTGGGCTCATTTCAAGATAAGGGATGATGACAACAGCAAGGCAGACTGTGAGTTATGTTCAGCTAAGGTGTCGAGAGGAGGGAAAGAAAGTACATCGTTTAACACCAGCAATCTAATTAAACATCTGAAGACGCATCATAGATCTGATGGCCGAGCGCGCGCGCGGGCGGTAATGCACTCACTCTGTGTGTGCGAGTTACGGGAGAATAAAACGATTCGCGGGACTCCCGCAAACTAGAAATATCTATGAATAAAACATAAAAACTAAAAGATTTTTATTCATCTCTTGCAGAAAAGCAACAAGAACAACTACAACAAAATAGAAACGATTTACAGGACAGAGTTTCTATTCATAACATGGTTACAGCGTTGAGCGCTGTAGCCACTCACAGACATATGTGTTGATTTCTGGAACGCAATGGCCAATCAGAAGCATTTAAGATAGACTCCCCTCACCGCTCAAAACGGACTTTTTTGTTCAGTGCTGAATTCTGTATGCTGGCGAATCCTCTAATTATAACAAACAAAGTGTGGATATTATAAAAGATTGATTGTGCAGTCAGCTTCATTGATAATAACAGAGATGTGTGAGATCGCGATGAACTGTCAGCTTTTAGGATTTATTAAGGGAGCGCACTTTGCGCGCATTCAGTCATGCCAGACCATGCACGCAGTAGCCTGCTTGCTTTTATGTTAAATTAACAGTGGTTTGTGTGTTAATACATTTATTATTTTAGTAATTTTTATTTATTTTTAGACTTGTTAAAACAAGCAGAGAAGAAAATAAAAACAGTCTTCTAACCTGTGTTCTTAAATAGTCGTCTTCTTTTCTGGGAGCCTATTACTTTTGCGGTAGAAATATCGGTATCGGTACTCGGTATCGACAAGTACACAAATGTAAATACTCGTACTCGTATCGGTTTGAAAAAAAATGGTATCGGGCCATCCCTAGATCAAAGCCTTATGGGTTTGAAATAACATGAAGGTGAGTAAATTATGACACTTTTTCATTTTTGGGTGAACTATTTCTTTAAATCCACACATTCTAAATTCCATGCAATATATTTAAAAACGGTGAACGACTTGTTGACGTAATCTATTAACAATGTCACTCCAAAATGTGAAACACTGACATTTAAATGCCATTATTTTGTGAATAATAACTTGATTTGTAGGTGGTCAACCATGCAGCAACTGCCTGGTCACATTTGTTAACCTGAAGTGTGACTCGTCTAAGAAGTCCAAAGGTCGTCGAGCGCGTAACCCGTCAAGCAAAGAGGTCACACGCATCACTCTGGAGCTGGAGGCCGAGGTCAAGCCAGGGGACACCACCGGTGAGTCTCACATCCTCGTCTAAAATAAACACCTCTGCAAAAAGAAAGATTTTTGTCTTGTTTTCCAGTACAAATATCTAAACATTCTTAAAGGCACAATATGTAGTTTTTCGCCACTAGAGGTCGCCTATTCAAAACAAAGGCGTAGCTTGCGAGATTGAGCGCGGGATCATGGGAGTTGTTGTCTTCACCTCACAACCGGTGGAAAAGAATCTGACGGGACTCAGGCAGAAATAATATTCATAGCTGAGATTATTAACGTTACTGTAGTATGAAGCGGAGCTGGAGCGATTACTAATGAGAGACGAGCGCGGGATACGGCTCGAAAGCAGCAGAACTTTTATTATGCCACAGACGCCGTTTCGGCTTCTTCAAGCGTACGTGGGGTAACGCATCGACATTAGAATATTATATTAATAAATGCTGGATGGCTTGTGTTGCTAAATGGCATGCAATTCATTTTAAAACACATTGTATGATGGATAAAATGCTGCATTACTGTTGCTAAAAATAAAGCTGCATCTGATTATGTTATGTTAGCCACTTGACAAAATAGTGTTGTCTCTGAGGCATGGTGAAAACACCGAAAATTAAGAAAACAAGCGATTCAAACAATAAGACTAACAGTGTTATTCGTTTTCTGTCTATAAATGTATCCAAACAGTCGTTCCCTTATCTAATAAAACATAATATATTAAAGCGTCTTTGGTGTTTCCATGGTTTCTGCTAAATAAAACAAAATCGGAAATCGAGGGTAACGCGGGTATGATGTCAGATAGGTGTCCGTGTCCTGATTAAAATTGCTTAATCCTCTAGATTTAAACACTTTTGGAAACATCTGGGATAATGTAAGTACACAAGTCAACAAAATATATAACACTGTTCTAGTGGTTTTGGGGGATTTTAATCCAAAAATCTTACATATTATGCCTTTAAATCAAGATACATTTGCTTGAGAAGCAAAATGACTATTATAGTAGTCTATACTAAGTCTTAATGATATTAAGTCTTGTTTTCGAAAAAAAATTCTCAACATTAAGTGACTTTACACTTAAAGCATAAAGACATTTTTCAGAAAACAAGACTCACTATAGTATCTTCAGTAATTTTCCACCTCAAGTAAATGTATCTTTTATGAAGATTTTTTTATATATTTGTACTGGAAAACAAGACAAAAATACTGAGGAAGAACATCATTTTTTGCAGTGTACAGACAACTGCACAGGATGAACGAAGTGCACTGCATTTTAAGTCATGACGTTCATCTTGTTCTCCTGTAGGGAGCTGTAACATGATGTGTCAAAGGCAGCGCATGGAGCAGCAGATGAAGTCGTACATTAAAGCCCTGAAAAAATCCATTAACCAGGAGCGTTTCCTCATCCGTGTGGCCGGGTTGGAGTACGAGGTCGCGCAGAAGCTCCCGCAGGCTGCACTGAGGCAGGAGAACTGCGGACCGGGCCGAGAGAAAGACAGCGGCCGCTGTGGTAAGAACGGAAGAGTGAGTGGGGCCTGTTATTCACGAACCCCTTGAATAATGCAAGGGCTTCCTATTGCCCAGACAGTAGAGCATGGCGCCTGCTACGCCAAAGTCATGGGTTTGATTCCCAGGGAATTAAATGTAAATGTATAGCTTGAATGCAGAGTTGCATTGGATAAAAGCACTGCCGCCTGCCAAATGTATAAATGTAAATGTAAGGGTGCTATATCATAAAACATCCCAGCAAGCAATTTTGCATTTTAAAGACGTCTAATAGCCGTCCAAACACAGCCCAGACATAAAAAACAAGGCTATTAGACGCCTTTTAAACGCAAAATTGCTTGCTGGGATACTATCAACAGATAAGAATGAGCAAGAGCATCTACTAGAGATAGAAACTCAAGATGGTTTGAGACTTGCATGGATATTAGAGGTGTAACGATACCTTCATGTCACGATTCGATACATATCACGATAGGATGTTATTGCGATACTCCAACACATATAATAAAAAGTTCCCAAAAAATTTAGTTGTTGATTAAAATGCTACATTTGGTATTACATTGTGGGAGTAAATTAATAAGCTTGGACTTAGTGCTGGTAACCCAATGCACAGGACAATAGAGACACCAGAATAACTGACTAAAGCAAAGTTTAGCTTATTAGTAAATATTTGCTAGACGAATTTGAGCATTTTACATTAATCGCTTGAAACTGCAGGGTTTGTTTTATTATTATTATTATTGAACAAAGATCCCAGGGGATACGTGTATCACAAAAAAAAAGACATGATAAGAAACTCAAGGTAGAGCAAGGCAATAAAGTACATTTTCAAACAAGATACAGTAAACAGAGACAGTGCACAAAAAAGTAATTCATAAAACATTTAAAGCAATAGAAATTAAACATACAATACATGAATTTGAAACTACAGGGTCTTCAGAGTTAAATTTCAGTCAATTTCAGCGTCCTCACTGCTGCCCCCTGCTGGCTGCTCTCTCTCAGTCAGATGTTTGCCTGGGTCATACTACCATGGTGAGCAGGAGCGCTGCGTCCACTGCCCACCTGGAACCTTTCAGGAGCGTGAGGGTCAGCTGGCCTGTGACCTTTGCCCTGGAGGAGACCGCCATGGTCCACCAGGGGCCCGCAACATCACGTCATGTGCAGGTGACCAGCCTTAATCCATGTGCCTTCTACTTGCTAATGGATGCAAATGTGTTAAACTAAAAGTAGGTGTCGATTCATTTTATTTGTTTATTTGTTGTCTTTGGGTACATTTGAAAATGTTCTCCTTTCTTTTATTTACACGTGGAATGCTGTCCATACATAAATTGTATCATATGATTAATCCACTATTATAAAACCTGAAGTACTTTTCTTGAAGTAACTTTGTTCCGTTTCTCTTTCTCTTTTTTTACAACAAAAATGAACCATCACTGAACTTACTTAAGCTGGACTATGATGCTATTTATGACGCTAATAAACTTTGTTGCATTATTTTCCTGTTATCACTGTAAAGCTGCTTTGAAACAATCTGTATTGTAAAAAGCGCTATATAAATAAAGGTGACTTGACTTGAGGCAAGGACCTTTTTATTAATAATAGATACAGAATATATTTTAATGGTGATATGTGTGTGTATATTGAGAATGATATCAATCAATGGTATCTGTAATTGTATGATACAATCTGTTCATGTGGAGAAAATCAAAAAGTAAAAAAGTAATTTTTGTCCTTTATAGGTCAATGTCCACCAGGGTATTTCTCCAGCGATGGGTTCAAGCCCTGTCAGTCGTGTCCCCTGGGAACGTACCAGCCCGACCCAGGACGAACTCTCTGTTTCCCCTGTGGAGGCGGGCTCGGTACCAAAAGAGAGGGTGCCAGCTCCTTCAATGACTGTGAGGTCAAAGGTCAGGCGTCTTGACACATTCACATCAAGCTAAACAGAGTGCATAAAAACTACTGTAATATATTCATGAGGTTTGGAGCAAAACATGGCGCACAATTTTTAGTTGAGACGTAGGCAATGTTTTTTTTATAAACACTTTTTGTTATACTGGTTAAAACCTTCTTTTATGGAGGCCCAGTAGTGCACAACACAATGAAATTTTACAAAGTAAATATAAGTTGACAACACCACGGAATCAAGTCACTACACAATGTAATCAAGCCACAACACAACGGAATCAAGTCTCAACACGACAGAATCAAGTCACAACACGACGGAATCAAGTCACAACACAATTGACACAAGTCTCAACACGACGGAATCACAACACGACGGAATCAAGTCACAACACGACGGAATCAATTCACAACACAATTGACACAAGTCTCAACACGATGGAATCAAGTCACAACACGACGGAATCAAGTCACAACACACTTGACACAAGTCTCAACACGATGGAATCAAGTCTCAACACGACGGAATCAAGTCACAACACAATTGACACAAGTCTCAACACGATGGAATCAAGTCTCAACACGATGGAATCAAGTCACAACTCGACGGAATCAAGTCTCAACACGATGGAATCAAGTCACAACACGACGGAATCAAGTCACAACACAATTGACACAAGTCTCAACACGACGGAATCACAACACGACGCAATCAAGTCACAACACGACGGAATCAAGTCACAACACAATTGACACAAGTCACAACACGACGGAATCAAGTCACAACACGATGGAATCAAGTCTCAACACGACGGAATCAAGTCACAACACGACGGAATCACAACACGACGGAATCAAGTCACAACACGACGTAATCAAGTCACAACACAATTGACACAAGTCTCAACACGATGGAATCAAGTCACAACACGACAGAATCAAGTCACAACACGATGGAATCAAGTCACAACACAACGGAATCAAGTCACAACACAATTGACAAGTCTCAACACGATGGAATCAAGTCACAACACAATTGACACAAGTCTCAACACGATGGAATCAAGTCACAACACAATTGACACGTCACAACACGACGGAATCAAGTCACAACACGACGGAATCAAGTCACAACACGACGGAATCAAGTCACAACACAATTGACACAAGTCACAACACGACGGAATCAAGTCACAACACGATGGAATCAAGTCTCAACACGACGGAATCAAGTCACAACACGACGGAATCACAACACGACGGAATCAAGTCACAACACGACGTAATCAAGTCACAACACAATTGACACAAGTCTCAACACGATGGAATCAAGTCACAACACGACAGAATCAAGTCACAACACGATGGAATCAAGTCACAACACAACGGAATCAAGTCACAACACAATTGACAAGTCTCAACACGATGGAATCAAGTCACAACACAATTGACACAAGTCTCAACACGATGGAATCAAGTCACAACACAATTGACACGTCACAACACGACGGAATCAAGTCACAACACGACGGAATCAAGTCACAACACGAAGGAATCAAGTCACAACACGACGGAATCAAGTCACAACACAATTGACACAAGTCACAACACGACGGAATCAAGTCACAACACGATGGAATCAAGTCTCAACACGACGGAATCAAGTCACAACACGACGGAATCACAACACGACGGAATCAAGTCACAACACGACGTAATCAAGTCACAACACAATTGACACAAGTCTCAACACGATGGAATCAAGTCACAACACGACAGAATCAAGTCACAACACGATGGAATCAAGTCACAACACAACGGAATCAAGTCACAACACAATTGACAAGTCTCAACACGATGGAATCAAGTCACAACACAATTGACACAAGTCTCAACACGATGGAATCAAGTCACAACACAATTGACACGTCACAACACGACGGAATCAAGTCACAACACGACGGAATCAAGTCACAACACGAAGGAATCAAGTCACAACACGACGGAATCAAGTCACAACACGACGGAATCAAGTCACAACACGACGGAATCAAGTCACAACACGAAGGAATCAAGTCACAACACGACGGAATCAAGTCACAACACGACGCAATCAAGTCAGAACACAATTGAAACAAGTCACAACTCGACGCAAACAAGTCGCGACTCGACGGAAACAAGCCACAACACAACGGAATCAAGTCACAACAGAACGGAAACAAGTCACAACAGAACGGAAACAAGTCACAACACAACGGAATCAAGTCACAACACGACGGAATCGAGCCAAAACACGACAGAAATAAGCCACAACACGACAGAATTAAGCTACAACACCACGGAATCAAGTCACAACACGATGGAAACAAGCCACAACACGATGGAATCAAGCCACAACACGACAGAATTAAGCTACAACACCACGGAATCAAGTCACAACACGATGGAATCAAGCCACAACACGACAGAATCAAGCCACAGCACGACAGAAATAAGCCACAACACGACAGAAATAAGCCACAACACGACAGAAATAAGCCACAACACGACAGAATTAAGCTCAAACACGACAGAAATAAGCCACATCACGACAGAATTAAGCTACAACACGACAGAAATAAGCTACAACACGACAGAATTAAGTCACAACACAATTGACACAAGTCTCAACACGATGGAATCAAGTCACAACACGACGGAATCAAGTCACAACACAATTGACACAAGTCTCAACACGATGGAATCAGGTCTCAACACGACGGAATCAAGTCACAACACAATTGACACAAGTCTCAACACGATGGAATCAATGGAATCGTGTTGTGACACGTCAAGTCACAACCCGACAGAATCAAGTCACAACACAAAGGAATCAAGCCACAACACGACAGAATCAAGTCACAACACAATGGAATCAAGTCACAACACGAAGGAATCAAGTCTCAACACGACAGAATCAAGTCACAACAAAATGGAATCAAGTCACAACACAATGGAATCAAGTCACAACACGACAGAATCAAGTCACAACACAAAGGAATCAAGCCACAACACGACAGAATCAAGTCACAACAATGGAATCAAGTCACAACACGAAGGAATCAAGTCACAACACGAAGGAATCAAGCCACAACACGACAGAATCAAGTCACAACACGACGGAAACAAGTCACAACACGACAGAATCAAGTCACAACACAAAGGAATCAAGCCACAACACGACAGAATCAAGTCACAACACGAAGGAATCAAGTCACAACACAAAGGAATCAAGCCACAACACGACAGAATCAAGTCACAACACAAAGGAATCAAGCCACAACACGACAGAATCAAGTCACAACACAAAGGAATCAAGCCACAACACGACAGAATCAAGTCACAACACGAAGGAATCAAGTCACAACACAAAGGAATCAAGCCACAACACAAAGGAATCAAGTCACAACACAAAGGAATCAAGCCACAACACGACGGAATCAAGTCACAACACAATGGAATCAAGTCACAACACGAAGGAATCAAGTCACAACACGATGGAATCAAGCCACAACACGGCAGAAATAAGCCACAACACGACAGAATCAAGTCACAACACAATGGAATCAAGTCACAACACGAAGGAATCAAGTCACAACACGATGGAATCAAGCCACAACACGACAGAAATAAGCCACAACACAACAGAATCAAGTCACAACACAATGGAATCAAGTCACAACACAAAGGAATCAAGCCACAACACGACAGAATCAAGTCACAACACAATGGAATCAAGTCACAACACAAAGAAATTAAGTCTCAACATGACAGAATCAAGTCACAACACAATGGAATCAAGTCACAACACGAAGGAATCAAGTCAGAACACAATTGAAACAAGTCACAACTCGACGCAAACAAGTCGCGACTCGACGGAAACAAGCCACAACACAACGGAATCAAGTCACAACAGAACGGAAACAAGTCACAACAGAACGGAAACAAGTCACAACACAACGGAATCAAGTCACAACACGACGGAATCGAGCCAAAACACGACAGAAATAAGCCACAACACGACAGAATTAAGCTACAACACCACGGAATCAAGTCACAACACGATATAAACAAGCCACAACACGATGGAATCAAGCCACAACACGACAGAATTAAGCTACAACACCACGGAATCAAGTCACAACACGATGGAATCAAGCCACAACACGACAGAATCAAGCCACAGCACGACAGAAATAAGCCACAACACGACAGAAATAAGCCACAACACGACAGAAATAAGCCACAACACGACAGAATTAAGCTCAAACACGACAGAAATAAGCCACATCACGACAGAATTAAGCTACAACACGACAGAAATAAGCTACAACACGACAGAATTAAGTCACAACACAATTGACACAAGTCTCAACACGATGGAATCAAGTCACAACACGACGGAATCAAGTCACAACACAATTGACAAGTCTCAACACGATGGAATCAGGTCTCAACACGACGGAATCAAGTCACAACACAATTGACACAAGTCTCAACACGATGGAATCAATGGAATCGTGTTGTGACACGTCACAACACGACGGAATCAAGTCACAACCCGACAGAATCAAGTCACAACACAAAGGAATCAAGCCACAACACGACAGAATCAAGTCACAACACAATGGAATCAAGTCACAACACGAAGGAATCAAGTCTCAACACGACAGAATCAAGTCACAACAAAATGGAATCAAGTCACAACACAATGGAATCAAGTCACAACACGACAGAATCAAGTCACAACACAAAGGAATCAAGCCACAACACGACAGAATCAAGTCACAACAATGGAATCAAGTCACAACACGAAGGAATCAAGTCACAACACGAAGGAATCAAGCCACAACACGACAGAATCAAGTCACAACACGACGGAAACAAGTCACAACACGACAGAATCAAGTCACAACACAAAGGAATCAAGCCACAACACGACAGAATCAAGTCACAACACGAAGGAATCAAGTCACAACACAAAGGAATCAAGCCACAACACGACAGAATCAAGTCACAACACAAAGGAATCAAGCCACAACACGACAGAATCAAGTCACAACACAAAGGAATCAAGCCACAACACGACAGAATCAAGTCACAACACGAAGGAATCAAGTCACAACACAAAGGAATCAAGCCACAACACAAAGGAATCAAGTCACAACACAAAAGAATCAAGCCACAACACGACGGAATCAAGTCACAACACAATGGAATCAAGTCACAACACGAAGGAATCAAGTCACAACACGATGGAATCAAGCCACAACACGGCAGAAATAAGCCACAACACGACAGAATCAAGTCACAACACAATGGAATCAAGTCACAACACGAAGGAATCAAGTCACAACACGATGGAATCAAGCCACAACACGACAGAAATAAGCCACAACACAACAGAATCAAGTCACAACACAATGGAATCAAGTCACAACACAAAGGAATCAAGCCACAACACGACAGAATCAAGTCACAACACAATGGAATCAAGTCACAACACAAAGAAATCAAGTCTCAACATGACAGAATCAAGTCACAACACAATGGAATCAAGTCACAACACGAAGGAATCAAGTCAGAACACAATTGAAACAAGTCACAACTCGACGCAAACAAGTCGCGACTCGACGGAAACAAGCCACAACACAACGGAATCAAGTCACAACAGAACGGAAACAAGTCACAACAGAACGGAAACAAGTCACAACACAACGGAATCAAGTCACAACACGACGGAATCGAGCCAAAACACGACAGAAATAAGCCACAACACGACAGAATTAAGCTACAACACCACGGAATCAAGTCACAACACGATAGAAACAAGCCACAACACGATGGAATCAAGCCACAACACGACAGAATTAAGCTACAACACCACGGAATCAAGTCACAACACGATGGAATCAAGCCACAACACGACAGAATCAAGCCACAGCACGACAGAAATAAGCCACAACACGACAGAAATAAGCCACAACACGACAGAAATAAGCCACAACACGACAGAATTAAGCTCAAACAGGACAGAAATAAGCCACATCACGACAGAATTAAGCTACAACACGACAGAAATAAGCTACAACACGACAGAATTAAGTCACAACACAATTGACACAAGTCTCAACACGATGGAATCAAGTCACAACACGACGGAATCAAGTCACAACACAATTGACACAAGTCTCAACACGATGGAATCAGGTCTCAACACGACGGAATCAAGTCACAACACAATTGACACAAGTCTCAACACGATGGAATCAATGGAATCGTGTTGTGACACGTCACAACACGACGGAATCAAGTCACAACACAAAGGAATCAAGCCACAACACGACAGAATCAAGTCACAACACAATGGAATCAAGTCACAACACGAAGGAATCAAGTCTCAACACGACAGAATCAAGTCACAACAAAATGGAATCAAGTCACAACACAATGGAATCAAGTCACAACACGACAGAATCAAGTCACAACACAAAGGAATCAAGCCACAACACGACAGAATCAAGTCACAACAATGGAATCAAGTCACAACACGAAGGAATCAAGTCACAACACGAAGGAATCAAGCCACAACACGACAGAATCAAGTCACAACACGACGGAAACAAGTCACAACACGACAGAATCAAGTCACAACACAAAGGAATCAAGCCACAACACGACAGAATCAAGTCACAACACGAAGGAATCAAGTCACAACACAAAGGAATCAAGCCACAACACGACAGAATCAAGTCACAACACAAAGGAATCAAGCCACAACACAACAGAATCAAGTCACAACACAAAGGAATCAAGCCACAACACGACAGAATCAAGTCACAACACGAAGGAATCAAGTCACAACACAAAGGAATCAAGCCACAACACAAAGGAATCAAGTCACAACACAAAGGAATCAAGCCACAACACGACGGAATCAAGTCACAACACAATGGAATCAAGTCACAACACGAAGGAATCAAGTCACAACACGATGGAATCAAGCCACAACACGGCAGAAATAAGCCACAACACGACAGAATCAAGTCACAACACAATGGAATCAAGTCACAACACGAAGGAATCAAGTCACAACACGATGGAATCAAGCCACAACACGACAGAAATAAGCCACAACACAACAGAATCAAGTCACAACACAATGGAATCAAGTCACAACACAAAGGAATCAAGCCACAACACGACAGAATCAAGTCACAACACAATGGAATCAAGTCACAACACAAAGAAATCAAGTCTCAACATGACAGAATCAAGTCACAACACAATGGAATCAAGTCACAACACGAAGGAATCAAGTCACAACACAACAGAATCAAGTCACAACACAAAGGAATCAAGCCACAACACGACAGAATCAAGTCACAACACAATGGAATCAAGCCACAACACAAAGGAATCAAGTCACAACACGAAGGAATCAAGTCACAACACGAAGGAATCAAGCCACAACACGACAGAATCAAGTCACAACACAAAGGAATCAAGTCACAACACAAAGGAATCAAGTCACAACACAATGGAATCAAGTCACAACACAAAGGAATCAAGTCTCAACACGACAGAATCAAGTCACAACACAATGGAATCAAGTCACAACACGAAGGAATCAAGTCACAACACAATGGAATCAAGTCACAACACAAAGGAATCAAGTCACAACACGAAGGAATCAAGTCACAACACGAAGGAATCAAGCCACAACACGACAGAATCAAGTCACAACACGACGGAAACAAGTCACAACACGACAGAATCAAGCCACAACACGACAGAATCAAGTCACAACACAATGGAATCAAGTCACAACACAAAGGAATCAAGTCACAACACGAAGGAATCAAGTCACAACACGAAGGAATCAAGCCACAACACGACAGAATCAAGTCACAACACGACGGAAACAAGTCACAACACGACAGAATCAAGTCACAACACGACGGAAACAAGCCACAACACGACAGAATCAAGTCACAACACGAAGGAATCAAGTCACAACACAAAGGAATCAAGTCACAACACGACAGAATCAAGTCACAACACAAAGGAATCAAGCCACAACACGACAGAATCAAGTCACAACACAATGGAATCAAGTCACAACACGAAGGAATCAAGTCACAACACAAAGGAATCAAGTCACAACACGAAGGAATCAAGCCACAACACGACAGAATTACGCTACAACACGACAGAATTAAGCCACAACACAAAGGAATCAAGCCACAACACGACAGAATCAAGTCACAACACAATGGAATCAAGTCACAACACAACGGAATCAAGTCACAACACAATTTAAACAAGTCACAACACAATGGAATGAAATCTCCTTGATTCCATGTTGTGTTTGTAGTGCATATCACATCAGATGCACACATTTGCTGGTGAACACATACCTATTTATTGTTCCCTATTGCCAACATACACATCCCCTTTCCTTTCTCTCTTGCTCCCCCTAATGGTCACTATCCTACAGTGTTGTTAACTTAGTTTTGTTTCATTGTGTTGTGCATTGCTAGGCCACCGTACTCTTCACATCTGATAGCAATCAATAATAGAAGTCGTCTAAAGATTTTAAAAAAATACATTTATCTTCTGTAGAAGTCTTGCTAGCTTGATATTGCTAGCCTCCGAAGTTGCCTACCCTAGCTATTTTTTTTCAATATGTATAGATTTATTTATTTTTTTCAGTTTTGGATCAAGCTAAATTGAAAATGAGAAATGTTGCCTTGGGAAATGACTGAAATAAGTTAAAATTTTTTGGTAATTTATTTTTTATTTTTTTTACTAGTTTTTGTTGTTGTTGTTGTTATCAACTATAACACAACATTAATTTTGTGTATGTTTGTGTGTAGATTTGTAAGAGAAAATAGTTTAGGTATTACGTTTCATACACACCAGCAATAAATGTTTGACTCACAAAACCATATAAAACATGCAGAAGTGTTTTCCTCAAGTGTAATAGAGTTCAGATATTGATCAGACCATAAAAACTGGACAAATTAAGTCTTACATTTACTAAAATTAGACTCTTGTAGTCCATGTGTGTGTGAGGGGAAGCTTCATGCTAAACCAGCCCATGTGACATCTGTGTTGTGTGTGTGTAGTGTTGTGTTCTCCAGGTCATTATTATAACACCTCAGTCCACCGTTGCATCCGCTGTCCTCATGGAACCTACCAGGCTGAGTTCAGACAGAATTACTGCATCTCCTGCCCTGGAAACACCACCACTGACTTTGACGGGGCCATCAGCGTCTCTCAATGCAAGAGTGAGTCCGTTCATCCTAAAGCACAAGTGTGGACTTCTTATGAGTCCCTGGAAGTAAAAAATCTGGAAGTAAAACCAACATCAGACCAACAAATGGCATTTTGAGTGAAATTATGTGTTTTGTCATTGGGATCCTCATTTAAATGTTTTATTTTGATGGTCCCTTTAACACAGTCTGTTGACTATAAGTAACATTGCACCTACATGTCTACTAACTCTCATTAGAGTGTTAGTTGAGTATTAATAGACTGGTTGGGTTAGGGTTAGATTAAGTTGACATGTAGTTGCAAAGTTACTTATAGTCAGTAGAGTGTCTGTTGGAGGAGCATCACAATAAAGTGTTAGCAGATATTAAGCAGACAATCTACTAATACTCTGATGAGAGTTAGTTGACATATAGTTGCAAAGTTACTTATAGTCAACAGCACGTTCAAAAGGGACCATCAAAATAAAGTGTTATCTTTTTTTCCCCTGACTGAAAGCCGACACTCTTAACTGACAAGATTAGTATGTTAAATTAAATTTAAATTAGAATGGACCCATCTGTGAGCCATTCAAAATACCAACAAATGTTTTTTTCCCCATAAGAACGGGTTTATTTTTACAGGCATAACTGCAGCATTAGTTAATTCAGTTAGAGAATTGAGTAAATTCGGTTATATAATATGGTTTACTGAACTTTGTATATGCATCACTAAAAAGTGAAGTGTCAACTGAATTGGTCTGCAGTACGTGGCCATATATTTACTTGTTAAATGGGCTATAGGTAAGAATTTTCATGTGTTAATCGCTTTTTGTATTGTCAATGTGTGAACAGCTTGTAACGAAATTTTAAAAAAGAGATTTGCTTGCTGCAGTTCACTTAACAGCCACCGGTGTCGCTAATAACAAGGGTTTCTGAATTTTACATATAGTCCTTTTAAATTACTATAATTATTTTTAACTAATAGGATTAATTGGTTAAAATTCTTACTATCGGTTAACAAATTTACTAGTTAATTATATGCTTCTTCAGTTTCTCAAAGTGCTATAAAGGACACGTATATATTTGGGCACTTGGACTGATGCTGTGTTGTGTTTATGTGATGTGAAGATTCCCTACAGGGTCAGTGTCTATCATATGGTTCTGTGGAAATTCATCTTCAAGTCACAGAAGAAATGTTTTAAACTCATCATACTCTTGAAATAAACATTGAAATATCAGGGAATATAACATTCCAAGGATTTAAGGAATAAAAAGTAGGGATGCACGATATATCAGCCACCGATATATGTACATTTTTTATCGTTATCAGCTTGATAAGAAAATTTGGCCGATATATTGAAGCCGATAAATAATGGATTGTTTCCTTCAGCTGAGACGCTTCAGATGCGATAGATTCGCCATGATGGTTTTGAATTGCTTGAAATATGATTGGAATCATTTCAAAAAAAAGAAAATACAGTAAAGTACAACATGTGCAGCACAAGTCTGTGATATAGGCGAAAAAAATATATAAGAACATCATAATTGTGTGCTTGGGACATGGATTTTAATGGTGAGACTTTTAGTTTTGTAATCAGGCTCTCAAAAATTATATAAAAATTTGGATTTAGATTTATCGGCCAATATATCGGTTATTGGATTTCTAATATAAAGAATTATCGGTATCGGTGGTATCAGCCAAAATGTTCATATCGGTGCATCTCTTAAAAGAAAGTTACCAGGTCTATTAAAGTCATGTAAATGTTCTTAATGAGAAATTTACCGTAACGTGATCTTTTTGTTTATTTGTTGATGTGTTCAGATCGGGAATGTGGGGGTGAAATAGGCGAGTTCATCGGATACATAGAGTCCCCTAACTATCCTGGAAACTACCCAGCCAATGTAGAGTGTGTCTGGACCATCAACCCTCCACACAAACGCAAGATTTTGATCGTGGTCCCAGAGATCTTCCTCCCATCTGAGGATGAGTGCGGAGACGTCCTAGTCATGAGGAAGAACTGTACGTTTTTGTGCTTTTCCAGGTTTAGCCTTTATAAAGTTTATTAGTGCCTGCACACCTTTTCTGTGGCGTTGGTAACGGAAGTATTTTTTCCATTCATTTTTCCCATAGAGATTTTAAAAGTGTTTGTAAAACCATTATAAGCAAAGATCCAAACCAACCAAATCCAACCAAAAACCCAAAATTAGCCTGCTAACTTTTATTTGAAGCAAAAAAGTATTTGAAAACTGAGCAAAAAGACAAAAGTACAAGACTGTGAACTTAACAGCTTTAATGAAGGAAAGAACTACAATCCCATGAAGCATTGCGAATGATACAAACATTAAAAAAATTTGAGAACGTATCAAGACTGACTTGATTATGTCATTCGTGGTGCTTCATTGGAGTGGGTAGAGCTAAAAACTTTTGGCGAGATTTGCTTGCCACAAATTTCTGATTGGTGGAATTTTCTTAACTGCATCATGGGTAATGTAGTTGTTCCCCAGGAATTTCACTGTTAAAATAAATAAGTTGAAATAATGCAAACTGATGGCTTTAACAAGAGCATATTAGCCTGAATGCCAGCCGAACTTAGCCCCACCCAGATCATTTGAGGATGAGAAGTTCGGTCTGGACTTGATCCATTGAGAAGCAGTATGCTAGAACCAAAACTGTTCGGACCAATCAAATTGTCAGGACGGGCTTTATACGATGATGGACAGATGATCAACAGTAACGTAATCATCCACGTCACCAAAGAGCGCTTTTGGGTTGAATTCGTTTACAACAAAGATGGCTGCCGCTGGAGAATTGAGATGTGTAGATTCAGCCATCGCATCTGTTATAGAAGATGTAGACAGTGCATTCATTTAAAAGAGGAACAGAGATCAAGGCATTTGTCGATCGGAAAGATGTTTTTGCCGTCCTTCCTACGGGATACAACATACGTCACTTACTCCTTTGCTCTGATTAGTTGTAGGTCGATCCAATTGAGTGCAGAGGCATTTTCTTTCCTGGTTCGGTTGTATTCTGACTAGAATCTGAGTATGACGACATCAGGCTAAGAGCATATATCATCGATTAACAACCTCAGAGCTCAGAGTTGATCTGTCTTTAAAAGTTTATGCGTTATCGTTAAAAATCAATTCCCCTATGGAGTTTTTACTTACTGAACTCAACTGTTGCACTCTATATCAAGTGTCATAAACTATTTTACTCTTGAAGTGTGTTACTGAAAGTAATGAAACGGTCTTATCATGCATGAAGGATCTAATCTTTGTATAAAAGGCATTTGAAATATTGACTTATCGGGACTAATCTCTCCATGTTAGTGGTGATGGTTTCTTAAGCTTTGATTTAAACACTAATAAATGTTCTTCTCAGGGTCAGCGACCTCCATCACCACCTATGAGACATGTCAGACATACGAGAGGCCGATCGCGTTCACGGCCCGATCTCGCCGCCTCTGGATCAACTTCAAATCCAACGATGTAAACAGCGCTCGCGGCTTCCAGATTCCCTACGTCACTTATGACGGTACGCTGGATTTTAGGTGGATTTCTGTCTATTCTTGACATTCATTGTCACTAAAATGCGCATGATTTTATTTTTCTTTAGAAGACTACGAGCAGCTGGTTGAAGACATTGTAAGAGATGGAAGACTTTATGCCTCTGAAAACCATCAAGAAATACTCAAGGTTAGTTTTGTGACTAGTGAAGTCTGATTTGGCAGTAACAGTAATGAACGTGTGTTTACTCTTTATTCAAAACCCTTAAAGGGATAGTTCACCCAAAAATGAAAATTCAGTCAGTAATTACTCTCCCTCATGTTGTTCAACCCCGTAAGACTTTCGTTCATCTTCGGAACACAAATTAAGATATTTTTGGTTAAATCTGAGAGCTGGATCACTCCTCCATAGGCTTCTTCAGGGATCGAAACTGGCCGGCCCAAACGTTATGAAAGACATCGTTAAAATAGTCCGAGTGAATACAGTGGCTCAACCTTAAGTTTATCAAGCGACGAGAATACTTTTTGTGCGCAACAAACAAACAAAAATAACGACTTTATTCAACTATTCATTTCCTTCTGTGGGCCTCGAGTGAGTTCACGTAGTGATATTGCGCAAAGCTTCTAGGTTGCACGTCACACGTAGGCTCACTATTGGCCGACGCTGGTCATGTGTGTGATGCGTGACGTACAACCTAGAAGTTTTGCATAGTTTCTCTACGTGAAATCTCACGGCCCACACAGAAGGAAATGAATAGTTGAATAAAGTCGTTATTTTTGTTTGTTTTTTTGCGCACAAAAAGTATTCTCGTCGCTTGATAAACTTAAGGTTGAGCCACTGTAGTCACTCGGACTATTTTAACGATGTCTTTCATAACTTTTCTGGGCCGGCCAGTTTCGATCCCTGAAGAAGCCTATGGAGGAGTGAGACAGCTCTCAGATTTAACCAAAAATATCTTAATTTGTGTCCCGAAGATGAACGAAAGTCTTACGGGGTTGAACAACATGAGGGAGAGTAATTACTGACAGAATTTTCATTTTGGGGTGAACTAACACATTAAGTATAGTAGTGTTAAGGGTTGCTGCAAGTAGTGTTCATTTTGTTAACGAAATCTATGACGACCCTTTTTCCATGACTGAGACAATGACGAGACGACACCAACGTCATTAAACGATAACTGTGACTATATCAACATGCAATATCACTTTACCAAAAACTCTTTACAGACTAAAAATATTACAGACTAAAGCCTCTATGAGCTTTCATGCTTGCAGTTGTCAGATTTCAAGAGTTTAAATCCTCCAATCAGAGCTTTTCTCCTAAAAGGATACATTTTCTGTGTTTCTTCACGAGCCGCTTTCGGTGTTTGCTGCGATTAAATCTGAGATCGGACCTTCTCAGTGATGAATTGTAATAAATCTAAACATGAATCTCACTATATTAGAAAAACATCAATGTAATTTGGAATTATTGTAATTACTATTAGGAATTTCACTGTTTTCATTTTTGAGAGAAGTTTCTTGTTTTATGATGTTGTTTTCATAATGTAGAGAATGTATTCATTTATGTGGAAAAAATAGCCTATAATAAATCAGACAACCTAGATGAGGTAAAATAAATGCGTATTGATTTGTGCTTATAGGTGAAAGTGCATCAATTCTGATGAAATGTAAAAATACATTTCTCAATTGACAACAATTATTGTGATTTATAATTTTAAGCAAAATAATCATGATTATCAGTTTAACCATTATGCAAATGTGACGACGTTTCGACTAAAACTAGACTAAATTGCTCAGACATTTACTCGACTAAAACTTGACTAAACAAAAACAGGACAAGGTTGACTAAAGATGATAAAAAAAGAAAAAAAAAGGGCATTTTGCAGCGGAAAACTAAATTCTCGTCCGAAATTTTAGCCAATAAAAAAATAAATACGACCTCACGTTGTGTCAATCACGTCTACACACTGCCTCCGAAACTTCTGTCCGTGGTAAAAAAATTCGGATCGGGTTCAATTTTCTGCATTTTTCGCATCGGTAGCAAGCATTTTGAGAGGTGTTTTGACAATTCAGAGCCACCGTACAAGCGAACGCCAAAATCCAGAACTGTTCAGGATCGATTGGTTCACGGAAATTGGTGTTCTTCTTTTTAATATGTGGCTCCAGTATCGCTAGCAAAGCACTAAACCGAGCCACTGACATCCTGAAGTAAACTTAATCCCGCAGCGAACTCTCCTTCCACTCTACGCAATCTCAGGATTGTTGGATAGACCCAATTTTTTCTCATTCTTTTTCTCTTTTTAAGAAGAGAGGACAATAAAATCATCCTCACTGCTTGAAGACTCCATTTTGTATTGCTTTGCAAATTTTTTTGCAACGTATTAATTAACACGCATGGGACTCAGTGTGCAAGGTTTCTGTGCGTGACGAATTTTTAGGATGACGAATACAAAAAAAACGAAATTTTCGTATTCGTCATTCGGTGGCTCTGAATTGTCGAAACACCTCTCAAAATGCTTGCAACGGATGCGAAAAACGCAGATTTTTTTATGACGGACAAAAGTTTCGGAAGCAGTGTGCGCGTGATCGACAACGTGAGGTCGTATTTATTTTTTAACGTGCGAAAATTTCGGACGAGAATTTCAGGTTCTTGATTTTATGTCACAATTGTGTTCAAGGAATGTTAAGATTGTTTAAACTGCTTATTTCTATGCACTGACCGTACACGATGAAAGCATTTCGATTTGTAAATTATGCCAGTCTCATTCGATTTTTCTCCTTTCTGTTTCCATCAGGATAAAAAACTGATTAAAACTCTGTTCGACGTGCTGGCTCACCCAAACAATTACTACAAGTACTCGCCCCGGGACTCCACGGAGATGCTCCCGCGTTCATTCATACGTCTCATCCACAGCAAAGTCTCCGCTTTCCTGCGCCCGTACAAATAATCCAAGAGCTCCGTCCACATCCACACACCTCCAGTCACCTGGCCTCGAGTCAACGGGATCCTACACACATTTAAAGGAAATACACACGCGCACACATATTCAACAGCACACACACAACCACACTATGCAGATTTCAGATGTTTCACTTCACTTTGCCCTTTTCTTTTTCTTGTCCGTCACCTCCGAGGAGAAAAAAGCTTCTGTGTAGTCTACATGTAACGCAGTCGTATCGAGTTTCCTTTCTCTACGTCACCATTCGGTCGTATGAACGCTTGCACGCTCAGTCCTGAGGCGTCCCGTGGAGGAAGACGATGGTTTGGGTGGTCCCACTCCTCCCGTTAAGAGCGACTTGTGAGTTTTAAACACACGCCTGGTTTTCATAGACATGATTCGAGTTAAAGAGCGTGTTGTACAGACAAAAGAAAGTTGTCGCATGTCAAAGAAAAGAAAATGTACTTGTTGAACTGGAGCTTTAAAAAAAAAAGAAAAAAAAAAGGCGTTCCAGCCGTTTTAAACTCTACTAGTTCTCAGAATAAATGTACAATCTTTTGTATATCTGTACTTTTAGTGTGCTCTTGGTAAGATCTAATTCATATCAAGCCTTTCACAATGTTAAAACATTATATTTGAGCTCCTAGAGCATACATGTAATCTCTAAAGGTCATGCTGTTAAAACAGTAGTTTCGTTAAGGTCTGCCAGTTCAGATTGTATTATTGTCAACTGCATATTCGTCTATTTCCTAATAATCGAGTTAATTTAACAAATTGTGCGTTATTGGAAAGGCTCGGGTGATGAGAAGGTTGGTTGGGGTTTTAAGAACGGTGAACTGTTAACACTCAGTTCTGTGAGTTTTGCTGCTTCTTCAGAAACGTCACTTTAAGCCTTCGGTTTTGCCTGTTGCAATTTAAGAAATGTCCTACAGAGAAGAGCAGTCGAGCGGCCGGACTCTTTCACGGGTTGGAAGAAATGATTTCATAGTGCAGACATGAATCGCTGATAAACGTAAAGCACAGGGTTGACGTGGATGGACTTTTCGGTCATGAGCAAGATGAAACGACAGTGTTTTGAGTTTGTTTTGCACATTATAGAAGGACCCAAAGAGAAGCAGCGTTCAGGTTACAAGTGTTGGGTTTCACCGGACCGCGGTTAGATTTGCTTGCAAGTGCCTGAAGTGCAAAAGCGTCAGGATAAGCCTGTGGATGTCGACATTTATGAGTGTTTCCTGTATTAATTATGAATTAGTATTCCTCATGAATGTGTTCATAGGTAGAGCCCTTCACATAAAGTGAAAAGAACCAAACTTCGAGAAGGTCAAACCATACCCAGTTTTTATATGTAAACAGAAAAGGACTGGTCAAAATGGTAGTTTACTGTTGTTGTTTTTTTTGTTGTATATTGTAAATATGAAATAAACGTAGACTAATTGGAGTCTGAGAGATAAGTCCAAACACAAGTTGTTCTCCCAAACTTGCATTTAGAAACTTTCCTTCCAAATGCGGACACAAAAGAGGGGTGTGTTCAGACATCGAGCATCAAGGCCAGAAACGCTCTACGCAAGTACGCAAACGCTCGTCCGAAGTACACAAACACGCATTCCTGCGATGGTGACAAGCCTCGGGACTCGAGGAGACGACAGTTACATTCATTTGTTTGTTCTAAACCAGGAAGCTAGCTATGCATGTCGACTTTAAACAAATAAGGGCCAACTGCCCAACTAAACCAAACACTGATCACAAAATGGTGACTCAAATTTGAGTTTTCTTCTTCAGTGATTCTGCCTGTTATCATCAGGTGTCTTTAATAATGCTCAATCAATAACTTAAATAGCACATTAACTTTAACACTCTTCAGTCTTAATTTAACACTAAAATTTTAACTCGCTAAACAAGACCTCAGTAGCTGAAACTCACCGTAAAAGGACACATACAGTACTTGCACATTTACATACTTGCGTAGAATGTTTTGGGACTATTTCTGTGCTGGGAAAAATAAAAAAAGACAAAGTTGTGGTGTTGACTGAAAGGCTGGCCTCCACATGTGGTCGAACGTGTAAACCTCTTTTAAAGTTAATCTGTATTCAAACACACAAGAATGTCCCAGACCATTTTTTTTTTTTTTTTTTCAAGTGCAGAAAAGTCTAACCCTCAAGACTAGATCCTAAAATCCAGATTTGAAACGAACTGAATGTGTGTGGGTTATTTGATGAAGCATTTATTGACATTTTAGGTATTATGTACATTTTGTCATCTATTACAATGGTCACTAATATAATTGTTTAAATGTATAAATATGATAGAATAGAGAAAACAAAAACAAAAAAACAACTTGGGTTAACCCAAGAAGAAGTGAACTGTCAATATTGCCCCGCTTGCAGAAACCAGGTCCTACTACTACACATGTTGCAGCACTGCAGGCTGGATGTCTCCGGGAAATCAAAAGGATGGGTCACATGTGAAATAGCCATGATTGCCTAGATGAAAAGTTTGTGGCAAAGTAGTCAATGTTTTGTTGAATGTTCACTAAAAGAAATGCAGAGTGTTTGCGTCATTGGCGGTCTGTGACTGCTGCTTTATTTTGTTGATCATTTCCCCTTGTCTTTGCTCTACCAAACCCATTTCAAACATCGATACATGTAACGTTTCATTTTTTTTTTGTCTGTGTTTTTCTATTGTTTTTTGTCTTTTCCCCCCATTTTTCTTTTTCAAAATGTCTTTTTTTGGAGAAAAAGAAATGACTTTGCCACAATGATTCATGGAACGGGAAATGGTATTTGCACTTGAAATTTGTTTATGCTCATGTAAAAATGTCTGGATTTTGTATTGTCTTTTTAAATGAAAGAAATTGGTGTTCTTAAAGTTGTCGATTTCGATTTCTTAATTCACAGGTACAGGGAAAAAAAACACCAAAGGTAGATACAAAGTAAACTATATTGAGTCAACTATAGCTAAACTTGTGCCTTCATTATTTCAGAATAATTTCATTCTTTTGGAGTTAAACTTAATACACAGGATATTTATTTTTCATTGTCACAATAATATTCTGAGCAAACATTTAATAAGATAAATATTATAAATTATACCAGTTGATGTTGGCTAACTATTGATGGTAACATCATCATGACGTCATTAATACGTCATTTAAATGAGACTATATATAAATGAGTCTATATGAGACAGGCCTTTATAATTTAGTGTTGAGATGTTGTTCATTGAGTGTATAGGCCTGTCTCTAAATCTCTAAAAAATCTCCAAATGCTCCACGTGAAACTGCGGTCTTCCGACCTTTTACTATCGTGTCAATTGATTTGATTAATATGCGCGAGGCCGGGAGAGAGAGCAAGACAGCGCTCGTGTTGTTTGAAGACGTGAAAGTGCGCGCGCGCGCGCGGCCGGGGCGCTCTCTCTCTCTCTGCTCGTTATGCGCCCTGTCAAGCGCAGCAGTCATTCTACATCACTCACCGATCAAAAAAGGCTTTGGAGGGACAACAATTTGCTTTGGCGGCCGCCAAAAAGCGGACGATCTGACGGTTTTAGAGGATTAAATACAATCCGAAACTAAAAAAACAGACCCGGCCTCTATTTGAGACCGGCCTTTATTTACCCAAACCTGCAGCCACACCAGGCGTGTAAAAGAGACAGGCGTCTATTTGGGACTCGGCTATTATTTGAAGTTTTATGAACCACAGATGTGCCTTCTTTACAGTAGTTGGACATCATACTGTTCAACTACTAGGACCCGAACTCAACTAGGACCCACTGAGACCGCAGGACGAGCACCACCCCTGCTGGACACGACTCACTAACACATGAACTAACAATAAACAATACATTTGCTACCGTATTTATTCATATTCGTTAACGTAATTAACAAAAGTACATTTATTTTTTGTTCATGTCAGCTCAGGTCCATTAAATAATGTACGAACAGGTATGACTTTTAATTTGATCAAAGTATTAGTAAATGTTGAAATTAACTAAGATTAATACATGCTTTAAAATATTTTTTATTTTTAGTTCATGTTAACTAATACAACAAATGGAACCTTATTGTAAAGCGTTATCATAAGATTTGTTGCTTTGAGCCCATTTTGTGCTGATTAAATAACCAAACGTTTCTTTTTTTAAGAAATTTCGCGTTTTCTCATTTTTATTTATACTGAATAGAAAAATGACAACAAGCTATAAAAATAGTATCCATAATGCTGTAGGTTAACATAATTCATATATAAAAAGTAATGAATTCTAAAACGTGTTTCATCTAGTCATCATAGATATTTTATGACAATCAATACCCTCGAGTAAATATTAAATAGTGTTCTGCTCATTTTAATGAAATACAGTGATAAGAAAGAGACTGAGACTGCCAGCTGTATTGTATGTGACTTTCAGTTAAATATTTATCTGTTTCTTCGCTCACAATCCGGAAGTCTTGGATTCCACTTCCCTTCTGGGCCACAGGTGACGAAACTCTCCCCAATCAGCCTTAAACCAGGATTGCAGACGATCGTCACGGTGTTCCCGAATTTATAGACAGACCTGAAACCCCTCATCCTTGATCCACGTGGCACATGTGGCTGAGGACAGACAATGTCTGAAAGGCACAGGAACAAGTCTGTTAATTCATGTATTCAAATAAAGGGGCCACAGAAATATTTCACAAATATGTGTTCAGCAAAATTCACGATAAATGGAAGTTATTGTCTCCCAAAAAAAAAAAAAAAAAAGCGATTACAAAACATCCTGAAACGAGTCGTCGTCAGTAATTCCAGGCTCACTTCCAGCAATTTAACACAATTCCAGCTTATGGTCTTCTTGACTTCATCTACTTTGACCCTCAAACACTGTAGTGGTAGCGGAGACTGAAAGAGTTTGGTGTGTGTTCATGTTCGAGAAGACGCTGTTTTCTGCTCAGCGAAAGCAAATCCACTTTGATGCTCTTCCAAAGGATGAGATTGAAACGGTAAACCCGACGCCATTGTTACTGTTCGTATCACTGTGTATCAAGTGATACAAATGATTCAGATATGGTAATGAGCGTTTGGTTTCCGACCAATCACAACAGACCGGGCAATCTGACCAATCAGAGAGGAGCAGGCTCGCAGAAAGGAGGAGTTTAGAGAGACTACAAGCCCCGTTCACACTACACGCGACTTTGTCGCTGCAAGTCGCCAGCCGCTGGCGATGAGGTCGCTAGTGGGCGTTCCCACTACTGGTTGACTAGTATGACATCCAAAAGACAGCGAATCAGCTTTCTTGCCGCTATCACTGCAGGCCCAGGGGCTGAGGAGAAGGATCACGTGCGCTCCACTCCTATTGGTTGTCGCTCGCGAAAATCGCTCTTCATTTGCATAAAGTTAAACATTTCTCAACTTTATCGCGTCGCCAGACACGCCCCATCTAGTCGCCAACGGTTGCTGTCGCGCGTGTCGCCGGAAGTCGCCCGCTCACCATTGAAATGAATGGTATCGCGTCGCTTGGTCACGTGTAGTGTGAACGGGGCTTAAGGCTGCATTTACACTGCAGGTCTTGATGCCCAAATCCGATTTTCTGACTTTATCCGATTTTTTTGACGACCCGCTTACATCATCTTTTAAAAGTGACCCGTATCCGATTTTTGCTTTTACACTATACACTGCTGAAACTACCAAATGTAGACGTTCTGACCCGGAAAAGGAAGTAAAACAGCACGAAATACAATGGATGCAGATGCGAATAAAATTATCCAGTGTTTTGCTTTCCACAATATTTTTTAAAAGTCATTAAGCTTTTTATCTTACGGTGGCACTGTAGCCACGAGTGCTTAAAACCGTGCCTCCCCATATCTCGTGAAATGTCTTCAAACACAGATTTATTTCTGTAACAACCCTGCATTTTTGCCTGCACTGTCTCTTCGCCCCAAACACTCAAAAGACATGAAACCTCCGCATTCCTCCACTGTGTGTATCCTTCGTTCTCCACCGCGCCTATAATAAGTCATGTGATCTCAGTTGGTGGTGTCCACCTGAGTTGACGTCACTTTTTTAATGACGTACGACTCGCATTTACTGGGGAATATCCGATTTGTCTGCTTACATGGCACACGCAAATGCACGTATCCGATTCATATCCGATTTATTACCACATATGAGTGAGGCCTGAATCCGATCTGAGAAAATCGGAATCCATGTGGGTTTTTTTTCCTGCTTACACGGTTCATATCTGATCTGTGCCTCATGAGAGGAAAAAATCGGATTTGGGTCACTTGAACCATGCAGTGTAAATGGGGCCTAAAGGTGATGATACACAGGGCAACTTTTTGAGCAATGTTGCTGGGCAATCTTGCTGAGTGATTGTTGCTTGGGCACTTTCCCATTGAAAATTGGCAATACAAACTTGTTTGTTGAAAATGGGCAATACAAACTTGTTCCTTTCTGAATAATTTAGGTCGGTCGTGGGCCCTGTGTCTCATCTGGTTGCCCGTTGACAGCAACATTGCCCAGCAACATTGCTCAAAAAGTTGCCCTGTGCATCATCACCTTGGAATGTGCTGATGCTGCAATGGATACTATGAGAAAATCTAAGAATCTTTAAAACAGCATAATAGGGGCACTTTAAAAATGATGGGCTCTTCCTGAATATATGGCCAAAAATATCATTGTGCACAGTAGAAACTTTAGTTGGTTCATCTTACCCAACCTCAAAACCTCAAATATCATAAATACACAGCTTCATGCATAGTGTTAGTGACCTTTTAATAGTTACCTTTACACTCAGGAGGCGGGGCGCTCCACGTGCCCTTCTGTGTGCAGTGAATCTCTCTCGCACCAATCAGAGCGCCAGAACGGCAGTGATAGGACACCACGTGACCGAAGGGAACATGGTCATACATGGGGTCGGAGATCTCAGCACCCTGGACCTCTGGGGGTGGAGGACAGTGAACCGCTGCAAAACACACAAACACACACTGTCATCAGAGATGGGAAACAATACAATCCTAGACTAAGGATAGCCCATAGCAATCAACCCTCGTTGACTTGTTTGTGTCTGAATCGCTCACTTGTTCACTCATTCTCTGATCCCTATATAATGATTGGCAGTTAGGAGTGAACGAAACGAAGCGAGGAATTCGGACACAACTAATTTGTTTCATCATTTTATCCTATTATCCTACATGTAGCTTACTTAAAAAAACAGTCAGAAATACTTCATATGTAATTATACATACGCCAGTGCCAGTTTCAGTTTCATTCATTTGGTTTTCCATGGTTAATCGAGTTCATAATCATTCAAACCAATCAAAAAAGCTCCCATCAAGAATAAACACATTAATTAGTGTAGATTATTGTTTTCAGTATGTTGAACTCTCAATGAGCATCAAACAGAAATAACCCGGCGCCGTATACATGTGGTGTTGGGCGCGCGCAGCTCTTAAAGGGGCCATACATTATTTCCACTCGTTACAGCGTCCATCCTACTGAACAGGTACCGGTGTACAGGGGGAGGGGATCCGGCCGTGAGTGCGAGCCATCTCTGCGTGAGTGCTATTCACGACAGTACAAGTACTCCACAGCGACTCTAGGGGTCACTGTTTGACAAAAACGGAATTCCTACTTAGTGCTGCTTTAAAGAATACATTTAATTCAGAACTAATATTCATCCGCTGCTGTTTCTCCTAACTTCTACCTCTGTAAAATGATTAATTTCCAGGTAATGTCATCTGTGAATTGGACAGTCAGATCGGATGAAATTCTAAAATTTTAAAACTCAACCCCGGACACCGGATCTTGTCAAAAGATATCCGCTTTTCTGGTGTGCAACCCAGCAAAACATGTCAACAGAAAGTCTCGTCTTTTACCTCAAGACTCTATTAACAGTCTTCTATCAGTCTGAGAGTTTGACTGAGAAAGAGAAGAGCAGAAGCGGGAGATAAAGTGATGAGTTAATTGAATAATCTAAGTTGCGTATGTTTCAATGCTCAGACTTCATCTAGATGTTACACTACTCAATGCCTGACTTCCGTACGATTCCAACAAGTGTTATTATACCACGGGAAAAACAACGGAAAATGCCTGCGTCACAACATCGTCCTGTGACGATAAAAACCTTGAAATGGAGACATTCTCTCACATCTCGAACTCATGAAGACAAACATCACTTTAACCCACACAATCTTAAGATTTAACAACAACAGCAAGCATTGCATGAGCAAGAAAATAAGTAATATACAAAACATAAAATGACAAATGAATAATAATACAATTATTAAATGATAAATTATTTAAATCAAATAATAATAATATGAATAAATAATGAATCAAATGACAACTACATAAATGACTAATGATTATAAATGATTATGAATTTAAATATCAAAACAAAGAAAATAATACACCGATGTATGGTTCCTTAAAGTAAAACAGGTTATTGAAAACCCTTCGATCACTCAATGCTAAAAGTGTGTTGTTTCAATAAAGGGAATTTAAGGCTAAGGATAAAAAGAATACATTTAGTGTGTAATAATGACTGTAATCTTGTATTCTATTCCTGACCCTGTTTTGATGTAAAGTAAATGGCGTCGTTTGGTTTGCAATGGTGTTATTTAAAGCATTGGGATTTCGATATTTAAAAATCAAGAATAGAATAGAAAAATGAAAACTGTCAGAAAAGCATCATACGCTCGCACACAGGGACCCTTCCGTCCCAGCCTCCATCCCGGCAGGTCCGCATAAGTGGGCCAATCAGTTCATACCTAAAGAGAGCGATCAGAGAAAAGAAAAGAAAATGAAACCAAGATGGACGAATGTCTAATGACACATTGGCTCTGTTCCAAACACAAGTGAGCTGCCGTCACTATTATCAAGAAGCTTTATGTTTTGGGTTAGATGGTCCCATGAAGAAGCCATTCCACAAAAGGTTCTTTATAGTGGAAAAAGGTTCTTTAGATTAATAAAATAATGTTTCTTTTACGAACTGATCCCTAGCCGCGTTACCATTACAGATTTGCGCAAAACTTTTGCGATATTTTCTAAATGTCGATAAAAACTATTGTGAAATGACGGCGTTTCCATTAAAGGGGTCATATAATGCCATTTTTATACAAGTTAATATGATTCTTTAGAGTCTAAATGAAAAGTTTGTAATATACTTTAATTAAAAATTCTCATTAGTATTGTAAGAAAACGCTAATTTTACGTGGTCAAAAACAGCTCTGTTTTCAGCGCGCCGTTTAAGTGCATGTGTCTTTAAATGATAATGAGCTTCGCACACACGTGGAGTGTTGCCTTGACAATAGTTGAGGGTTTATTTTGGAGAAAGAATGGCAGCGGGACGCCATTCTGCTCCAGCGTATCGACAATGGCGGACTATGATGACAGCTCGCTCAGGGCGGGTCTGTGTTGAAACGCTGCTGTCAATCAACAATCGTGGGAGGGGCATCCGACCGTGTGACGTCACATGGTCGAACGGCTCGATTTGAGGCAGGGGAAAACATATAAGGAGATTAAAACAAAACCACTGGATGGATTTTTATCATTATATGATGGTTGTGTACAGGCACTGCCAACACACATTTCAGTACAATCAACTTGAAAAAGTGCATGTATCATTATATGACCCCTTTAACTGATGTTATGAGACTAAAGCGGAATTTTTCTCTCTCGTGATAAATCATGGCAATTGATGTTGGTAAGTTTACGTATATCGCCGCAACCTCACTAGGCATTGTTTTTAATCGAAGGAGATGTGGACGTGTTATCCAAGCATTAATGGTAAGAAAAGCCTAACAAAAAGTTTAATAAAGAACTCCATACCGCGCCATCTTTAAAGAATGATGGACTGTTACGTACGCGGGGTGACCTGTAAATGCGCAAAAACTGTTTCAATTGCAGTTTTGCGAAATATTCCTATTTCGAATTGCCTGGAAAAACCACCTCATCCAACTTTTTGCGATAAATAGGAGTTTTTGTGAAATTGACTGGTTTCCATTGGCCGTATTTTCAATGCGCAATTTCAATTTGTGCAATTTGAAGGGTAAACGCAGCTAATCAAAGGTACTTTGGGGAACCCAAAATGGTTCAGTGATATAAAAGAAGATCCATTTTGGGTTCCCCAAAGACGATTTCAGAGATCAGTTCATAAAAGAACCATTTTCTTTTAAGTGGAAGAACATTTAAATGATCTAAAGAACCTTTTGTGGAACGGAAAGATTCCATGGATGTTAAAGGTTCTAAATGGAATTATCAATGCCAATAAAGAAGCTTTATTTTTCTGCCTTCTATCTAAATGATCTGGAATGTTCTACATACTGCAGTAGATATTCGACTCACCGTTGTTTTTAAAGGGCCTTTCACATGTTGTGTCTAAAAACGTGTGGAAAACACCAGCCTTCTCCAAGGAAGTTTTAGCAAATGGATTTAAATGGATTTTCCAGCACCAGAAATACCTTGCAGAGTTATTAATGGAGATGATGAAAAACACAATCTTACGGAAAAGGTGAAGCTGATTGGTTGGTTCTGAAAAGTTGGGACTTTTTCCATCTCGCCTGGAAAAAACTCTATTGTGATCGAGTTCATTATAATGAGCGCAAAAGATGCGACATTTGAACGGCCCCTAATTGAGTTTGGCTTTAGCAATGCTTACAATAGCATGAACACTGTACATTTGTTTTGCTTTCTGGTATTGAATCAAATTGAAAATATAATCAACAATTATTTTGCGTAGCTCCACAATTTTGATGGATTATAATTATTTTATAATAAGTGCATTGTGTGCAGTGCATTGTGGGATTGTCTTCTCCACAATGGACACATGCAAATGTGCCCAAAATAAGGTATAATAGACACTACCTCTTTACAATACCTTAAAATCCTGCCTATTTCAGCAGTTCACTAGCTTTTGGAGCAGAGCCCTTGATTTAGTTCAGGCATAGTGTCTTATGTAAATTTCACACAACAAAAAAAGAAGCATTATAATCACCCTTCTTGACAGATGGCTTTAGCTGAATGTCCGAATAACACCCCTGTGTACTCAAAGCGGCCAAAGGGAATCTCTCCAGCAGATCCGCATCTTTTCCCTTTTGATATAAACATATTGTTAGATTGTTCCAACACATGAGGAAAGTCAAGAATGTGAATTCAGTCTGGTATCAAAAACTTTCATTAACTGCCTCCTATTAAATGTCTCCGGATATGAAAGCAGATTCACACACACACGCGGAGTTAAAGTTCCTGCAACATACGTTCACACTGGATCCGCAGGTTCGTCCACTGGCCAGCTTGACAGTGAATACTGTCGCTCCCTCTGGCCCGCCGGTATCCTACACCGCACCTGTAACGAATGCGAGCGCCAGACGGGTACTCTTTCAGCGTGGACGACCCGTCTCGGAGCTCCAGGTTGGGGTGTGACGGAGCTGGACCACATTTACCTGTGGGAGAGGAGTTTTAACCACTGAATCTTATCTATATTATTCACTGATCTCAACAACAGAACGAATAGCCTAATAAAAGAAAATTGGTCTTTAAAAAGAAGGAAACACTAGTAAACAACATAACCTGGATCTGGAATGGAAAACTAACATGAAACATGTATACTGTGTTTTGGTTCTGTTTTCCCTGTGCCTGTCATTTGAGCCAGGCCTTGTCCACACTAATACGCTTTAAAAACGATGATGTGAGTTTAGTCATGTGACGCATATTGAACCAATATATATTCATGTTTATACTGGTATTGTGCATGTTATGTGCTATTCGCTTTCACACGGTTGCTAAAATATGTTACTTTGCACACTCTTCATTTCACAGTACTGCAAAGATGACAGAAAATGTACTCACATTTGAGTGCGACCTGGACACATCAGTGAATGGTGAGATATTTCGCTAAATAAAATGATCCTGCCAGAAGAATTGCGTGATAACTTGATTATTGTTCTGTAGCCTATCTACACTCACCTAAAGGATTTTTAGGAACACCTGTTCAATTTCTCATTAATGCAATTATCTAATCAACCAGTCACATGGCAGTTGCTTCAATGCATTTAGGGGTGTGCTCCTGGTCAAGACAATCTCCTGAACTCCAAACTGAATGTCAGAATGGGAAAGAAAGGTGATTTAAGCAATTTTGAGCGTGGCATGGTTGTTGGTGCCAGACGGGCCGGTCTGAGTATTTCACAATCTGCTCAGTTACTGGGATTTTCACGCACAACCATTTCTAGGGTTTACAAAGAATGGTGTGAAAAGGGAAAAACATCCAGTATGCGGCAGTCCTGTGGGCGAAAATGCCTTGTTGATGCTAGAGGTCAGAGGAGAATGGGCCGACTGATTCAAGCTGATAGAAGAGCAACTTTGACTGAAATAACCACTCGTTACAACCGAGGTATGCAGCAAAGCATTTGTGAAGCCACAACACGCACAACCTTGAGGCGGATGGGCTACAACAGCAGAAGACCCCACCGGGTACCACTCATCTCCACTACAAATAGGAAAAAGAGGCTACAATTTGCAAGAGCTCACCAAAATTGGACAGTTGAAGACTGGAAAAATGTTGCCTGGTCTGATGAGTCTCGATTTCTGTTGAGACATTCAGATGGTAGAGTCAGAATTTGGCGTAAACAGAATGAGAACATGGATCCATCATGCCTTGTTACCACTGTGCAGGCTGGTGGTGGTGGTGTAATGGTGTGGGGGATGTTTTCTTGGCACACTTTAGGCCCCTTAGTGCCAATTGGTCATCGTTTAAATGCCACGGCCTACCTGAGCATTGTTTCTGACCATGTCCATCCCTTTATGGCCACCATGTACCCATCATCTGATGGCTACTTCCAGCAGGATAATGCACCATGTCACAAAGCTCGAATCATTTAAAATTTGTTTCTTAAACATGACAATGAGTTCACTGTACTAAAATGGCCCCCACAGTCACCAGATCTCAACCCAATAGAGCATCTTTGGGATGTGGTGGAACGGGAACTTCGTGCCCTGGATGTGCATCCCACAAATCTCCATCATCTGCAAGATGCTATCCTATCAATATGGGCCAACATTTCTAAAGAATGCTTTCAGCACCTTGTTGAATCAATGCCATGTAGAATTAAGGCAGTTCTGAAGGCGAAAGGGGGTCAAACACAGTATTAGTATGGTGTTCCTAATAATCCTTTAGGTGAGTGTATATATATATATATATATATATATATATATATTTATATATATATATATATATATATATATATATATATATATATATATACATACAACCCAGTCAAAAGATTTTTTTTTGCTCACCAAGGCTGCATTATTTTTTTCAACATACAGTAAAAACAGTAATATTGTGACAATATTATTTCAAGTTAAAAGAATTGTTTTCTATGTTTTAATATAATTTGAAATGTAATTTATTCCTGTGATGCAAAGCTAAATGTCCAGTAGCGATTACTGTCACATGATCCTTCAGATCTTTCAGCTAGTGATGGCAATTTCAAAACACTGCTTCATGAAGCTTCGAAACCTTTACGGATCTTTTGTTCCGAATCAATGGTTCGGAGTGTGTATCAAACTGCCAGTCACGTGATTTCAGTAAACGAGGCTCCATTACGTCATAACTGTTTCGAAACGCTTCTAAACACTTCGAAATTTCAATGGTTCACCGCTGGGGGCGAAGATCTCCGAGTCACTAAGAACCAATGAACAAGTGTCTGTGGGTTTTACCTGATCTCTGATCAGTTTTATAAAAATGTTTAGACGTTTTAATTAGACATTAGTATAATTAAAATTAATAATAGTAGTAATAGTCTCTTATTGGTCTGTTTAGCTGAGCCATTCATAGAGCAAACAAAACAAACCCTGACAATTGATAAAATAACATATAGACACTTGATAATCTTATTAAATGATTAGATAATTGCATTTGAAAGATTTTACTTTCAATAAAAAATTTGCAATAGATTTGTAAAATATGTTTTTATGCATGTTTGGCCCCTGTTTTTGTTGCATTTACACTGTTCTGACCACTAGGGGTCACCATGGAAACGGGTGTCGGACTGTTTTCAACCGTTTCAGTTTCACGAAGCCTCGATCTGCCCATCACTACTTTTAACAAGGAAGCATTAATTTATCAAACGTGACAGTAAAGACATTTCTAATGTTACAAAAATGTTCTATTTGAAATAAATGCTGTTTTTTAACCTTAAGAATCCTGAAAAAAAGTATAATATCAGTCAGTCGCGACATTCCAAGGTCAGTTATTCCAAGATTTCAACACTGCACAATGATAAGTTATCCCTTAGCCTAAACGTCCTTCTTGTTTGAACTTGATTGTCTTCTTCTAAGGCTCAAAGCGGCTAGAAACTGTTTTTCTTCACATTTAATGAGCTAATAAAATATTTCAATTTAAATTAATATTATGTCTTATTATTAACTCGTGTGGAAAGTAGATGTGCAATAAGCAAGATAATGTACATCCAGCCGTAATAAACCCTGAAGGTGTGATACAAGTCAGGGTCCTGATCACCTTTTGAGGTTTTGAGGTCATGTGACTACAAAGCATACTACTGTTTGTAATTTTTTTTTATGGTTTCAACACATTAGTGTTCTTACCAGAAGCTGAAATCCTTTTAGGGAGACACTCAGGCAAGCCCTGCCATTGGCCGGCTGGCCCACATGTGACCTGTGGTGAGCCAATCAGATCAAAGCCCTCGCTGCAGGTGACGGATACGGACTCTCCCGGCATGTAAGCAGACTTCAGCTCTTTCACTGAACCACTTTTTCCCATTTCAGGAGTGGGACATGTTTTGAGATCAACACCTCTTGAGAATAAAACTTTTGAGAACTGACCTTTTGAGATGAAGGAAAAACAAGGAGAAACACTGAAGTGAAGTGAATATAATTTATGCAACACATTTAAAGTGTTCCTTAATGTTTAAAGATAACAGGAATAAAAGAGTATTTATTAAAGTTGCAAAGTTGCAAAAACATTTCAGTGCCATTGCTCATTTCACATGTGAACGGGAGTTTCTTAAAGGAGCAGCGTCAAAAAACAGACCATTCAAAAGGTCAGAGAAAGGGTGGAAAATGGTCATGAAAAATTTAAAATTGGCACAATTTCTTTCTTTTTTTTAAATCACCAAGACTATAAGATGATCTCAGGGGGATTTTCATTTCCAACCGAAATTCAATGTCTATCCAATGTTGGAGGCTGACATCTTTCTGGTGTTAAATTGAGTTTAGAGCAAGAAACCACCTTTAGTGAGCATCATCCATTCTTCGTATCACTTGAAATGAAACATTTGAGGAAGTAGGTGGAGTTTCAGATCAAGTATTCAAATCAGGGCTGCATCTAAAATCACACTCTCTTGAGCAGGTACTAATTTTGAATAATGAATTACTTCACGCTAAAAAGTATGTTCTATATATCATGAATATATTATGACCTACCAGTGACACTTTAAAGCCATTCACAAATGCTCTCCTGTGGCCTCATGGGATAGTAAAGTGTCCATCGTATATGCGCACTTCACAATCTCGCGTCACAATACTCTTTTATGAGTACTGTGAATTATTTTGTCACATACTGTTTTTGCCTTCTATATAGTAACAAAGTATGTGATTTTGGATCCAGCCCAAGTGTGAAAACAGCCTTAATTACCTTTAGGGCGACACTCAGGCAAGGTCAGCCATTGGCCATCTGGCCCACATGTGACCGCTGATGAGCCAATCAGATCAAATCCCTCACTGCAGGTGATGGTTACAGTGTCCTGGGGTGTGTACTGTGTCCTCTCTCCGGGATAAATCCGTTGGTTTGCCACAACAGGTGCTGAACAGATGATCTTTGACACTAAACCAGGCAGGGGCGTAGGCAGAACTTTTGTTCCAGGGTTGTGGCCAATTAAGACCCGGTGATTTTATTGGGGTGGCAAAAAATAATGAATTAATTCCTGCTTCAAATCTAGAGAAAAACAATTAACATGCAAACTGTGATCGTGCATAGCCTGCGTGTAATAGGCTGCCTTAAAACGGATGTGGAATGGCACACATAAAACTTTTTTTTCTTCATGTAACTGCATCTCAAAAACAGCACTGGATCATCGTTCCTATGTAATGAGTGCATTTTTGCCAGACATAAATTCTCTTCCATAGACAAGGAGTCTCCGACACAAACGCAATCGATCACCGGTAGAGCTCCTCGAGTAGCCTATAACCGATTAAACAGCTTATAGCAAAATAATGGGTAAACTTTTTTTTAAACATTATTAAAAATGCAACAGCGTGTTCATTTAGCAAAGTGCAAATGGCTGCGCATTTCTTTGTGCTATCACAGGATGTGTGAGTAATACAGGCTACTGTGTGTGTGTCAGAGAGAGAGAGAGTGGGGTATAACCATGTGTAATATTTGTTCATTTTGTTGGCTAAACCTTAAGGTTTTTGTCCATTTTCCATTCTTTTTCTATGCAAACATGCGCTTGAAGAACATGTTTGACTGTTGCGCTCGGTTCTCGCTCTGCTGTGTTTTTGTTTATCTTTGTAATGCGCGCATTTGCAGCGTTGCCATGTCCACTTATTATAGGCATCTTTGGGCTTGTTATTTTTTCCATATTAATAGGTGAAGTGAGAATTTAGTTCAGCTGGAGTGTGAACATTGCCTTTGCTTTGTGGCAGTGTCATAAAAAGACAAAAACTTGACGTGTCTCCCCAAAAGCTTCTGATGATGAATTACAGGTAAACACCACTAGAGGACGATAATAAGCTGCAGAGCCTAGATCTTGGAAAACCCACAAACTCAATATATCAAAGCGGATTTACTGCCATACAATCCTCTTACACCTAATGCACTGTAGAGGTCTGGCGAAACGCTGCTGCATCATGCTTTTTCCATAGTTTATGGTTTTTAAAAGATATAATTGCATTTTATGAGCGTGTGTATTGAGTATTGTAATTGATATTATATAAATTGAAGGGTTGGGGTGATTTTAGCATGACAAAGGGTTAAAAGCACCTTCACAGATGGGGTCTGTCCCGTTCCAACCTTTTTCCAGACACATGCGGACTCTTTCTCCTCTCAAAACATATCTGCATGAGAAAACAAGTATATTAATAACAGAAAGGGAAAAATTATTAACCTGGTTTGATAATATACTATTTAATAGAGGGAGACCTAGAACAAAGTTGAGAAAAATGTATTTAACAGACCTTTCATGTGAAAATATACATTTTTAACTTATTTACACTGTCCTAAATAAATATGATGCTTAACCACATCAACACTTATTCAACCCTCTTCACGTATTCCACCTACTCTATTTATTCTCATATAGCCATGTTTTCTTATGGACTTCAGACATAAAGAATCAAAATAAGCGTTCAGTACCCTGTATTGCACATAGCAATGGCTCTATCACCGAACGACTGTCCATCTCGACTGTATTGGCCATTCTCTATGTCACCCAGCGCATTGCACTTTCTCTCTGTGAGAATAAAAGAGAAAATATGAAAAGGTGGAGTGCAATAAATGATTAAGATATTTTAGAGACATAGATAAACGTATCTTACTTCGGCATTTCATGGTCAAGGTTGTCCAGTGTCCTTTCTTACAGTATGCCAATCGACTTCCTTCTGATTGTGAATAACCCTGAACACATTTATAAACCACTTTTTCCTGGTCATTGAACACTACTTTGTGAAGATATTTGGTGTCCAGCTGCTTGTCCAGATATTTGGTTGGTTCACCACATTTATGTGTTTGAAACTGTGAAATGGACACTGAAAAGCACAAAAATGATAGAAATGAAAAAATGCTTTTCATATGATTAGGCAACTAATAATGCATTTTGACAACCATACTGAAAATAACATTGCAACTTAATCATCAATGTGATGTAAATACTGAAAGTCTGAGCAAGTGTTAATGTTGAGTGTAAATGTTGTAAAGAACTTAATGACCTGCAACTGGAAGATATTATGCAATGCATGACTCTATATGGCAGCAAATCTATTTTCAACATTATGGGAAAAAAATACTTAAGGTATGCACAATAAAATAACTCCAGTTACTAAACTTATAGCTGCAGCGTATATGACCCGTGTTTAACTTTATGTTTATGAGTATGCCTATTTATGAAACTACATAATCTTCCAATAGCCTTGAATTTTGCCTTGAACTGTTTACATTATTGTTTTTTTTTTTAATCAGCTGAGCCAGCTTATTGTTCTGACAGGTGTCCATCACATAGGCCTACTAGACAAATAAAGTTGTTTAAATACATTGCCCTTAAACTGAATAGGGTCATTCCTACTATTCGGTGCCATTTCAGCTTGGTAAATTTCCAAAAAAAAAGTAAAAATTTCCATGATTTATTCATTTTATCTGAAGAATGGTTTGTTACACTACAAGAAAAATATATTGGTCCAGCTCAGGATATCACTCTTTAATAATTTTGACCAAATTCTTCACACATGCAAAGGCCAAATGTCCACCCTGTTACAGGACATTCTCATCTAAATTAATAAATGTTTTGAATTCACAGTTATTGTAATATTTACATTTTCTAAGAGCTCAAATGTCCCTCACTTTACCCCGCAAATGTATTTTAACAAAGTGTTCATTAACGAGCATTATCTTAAAAAAAGTTGTATTTTAAGCCACAGTGGTAATTTCAACACATTTCTTTTAGAATAAAAAGACATTTCAATGGAATTTTGCCGCATTTTTTAATTATTTCATTTTGCCATTTCATTCCCTAAAATTAACCACAAAGATATGCATAACATTTGTTGAACTTATTTTATTAACTTAAAATAATAATAAAAAAACAGAGGTAACAGGGTGGACAGAGGGGTAACAGGGTGGACATCACACCACTAAACAACAATAAATGTTATCAACTCATTTACCCTGGCACCCCCTGAAGGTATATAACAAATAAATGTATAATAAATTAATTATAAGTACCAATTCAAGCTGTAAACACTCATTTATTTAGCATTTACGCCCACTCTGTTACAATATGTCCACCCTGTTAGTGTGCAAAAGAGTAACAGGGTGGACAGTAACAGGAGGGACATTTTATGCTAAAGTTAGCCATTGCTACAAATGTGATGAAAAACAAGCTAGTGCGCAGTGATTATTGAGGAAGATTTTTAACCTGTTTATTAACCATATTTTCAAAATTACAAACAATTATCAGTTTCCACTATAAATAGGCATAACAGGGTGGACATGTTATGCTTTACCACTTCAGTGAATCATTCTAAAACATTGAAAAAAGAGTGAATTAAGGAATGATACTTACTCTGCTTCTTGAAGATAATTTGCCACCAAAAAGTATTAAAATTCTTGAGAGACATGTGATTAGAGGAACAGTCAATGGGCGTGTTCAGAGGGATTTTCCATCAGAGTAACAGGGGGGACATTCAATTCAGGGACACAACATTTTTTAAAGACTTTAAGTATTAAAAATGTATAACTAACAAAAAATATATTTTTGTGAGGAATATTATAAATAAGAATATACATCAATATTGAAAAATTAGGAATTTATTTGATTTTTATTACTTATATTTGTGGCTGAAGTTGTGCAAGCTTACTTGGGGACATGGCAGTTTAGCCTACTTGCACTAACATCAGAGTAATTTTTTTTTATTATTAATTAATCCTGGGTACATTTATTGTGTTCTATGGTAAAGGGGGATTAACAATTTAAGATGATCATTTAGAAACAAGTATTAGCCCATTTTTACTCAAATAATACCACATTATGTCATGAGGACTCTAATGGCACCAAATGCTAAGAATGACCCAATAGCGATAATCTCACACATGATATAATACGTGAAAAATATATAAAGTGGTTGGAATAGCGGAGCACTGCGTCAATAGACGTTACGTCGAGAGATGACGCGCGTGCCACATTAACTGCTTTAAGTCGTTGATAATAATGACGCGATCTTGTTTTGTCGCGTAGACATTAATGTAACGTTACTCACCTACAAAATGCGCAAACACAAGTATGAGTATAATCCCCCAAACAGTCGCCATATTCACGGATTTCTGCAGACGAAGAGGAGTCTGTCTGAAGGAAAACAAATAATGTGTTCAAATTACACTCCTTTGCTTAAATAACATACGCCCGCTGTCGTGACGAAATCAAACCCTGCCCTCATTCAGGACATAAAACACTTCTATATTCGGTTACGGTATAGTCCGTAGTTCTTGTAAAACAACAATAAACGACCAACTCATTCAAATAATATCAAAATTCCAAGAATAAACTAGAAAAAAGCGCGTTTCTGAATGGACCAGAACGTGGGTCGTGGTTTTGACCCTCTGTGGCAAACATTATCCAATAACTTTTATTTATTTATTATTAGCCTATTAGTTATTTTGTTCAGTTACTCTAGTATTAGGCTATATTAATAATAAGTACTATAATTTGCTACTGGAATACTAATAGGCCTATTTATTACTAGCTTTTTCTTTTTTCCTTTCTGCCAAGCTGATTAGGAGTGACTAGCCTAGCAAATGAATCAGAACTATTAGGCTAAGTGATGAAAAGGTAGGCTAGCAGTGACTAGTTGAAAAGAGTTACAAAAATAGCATGTTTTTTTTGTAAAAGTGTAAGTAACCATGTTTTTTTTTTTGGCGGATTGACTACCATTTACATACAATTGTATAGGCTACAGTATTGTTAACCATTTTATTCAACTAAAATTAACCATGGTTTTACAACAATTGAAATAAAAAAAACATGGTTACTATAGTTAAACCATGGTTTATTTTATTTTATTTGTTGTAAAACCATGAGTCATTTTCGTATTCAATCACATACGAATACATTAATGAACAAAATAATATGTAAATAAATGAGTAGATAATGAAGGACTAAATGTAAAATAGTAAAATGGTAAAACATGCCTAATACACTCTATACTGCATTATTCAGTACATTCAGGCTACATAGTGTTCCAATGTACTCTAATAATGTTAATGCAGTACTTTCATCTACAGTGTGCTGTTGTTATTATTATATCACACAAATGCATTGTCTCATTTAGATTTCATTTTATTAAATGCTTTTTCTTTGTTTTTCTTTGATAGCAGTAGCTACTGCGGTTCACATCTGGTAAAGGTTTTTGCAAGATATCATTACAACAAGCCCATACATGCGCTTTTAATGTCTGTAGGATTTTTCACCTACAGAATTATCACTGCGTCATAAATCATATTGTATCTTCGTGGACAAGATGGTTGGCAGATTTAGAGAAAATAAGAGCAATGTTCTCAAATACAGTTTACTTTACTTGCAGGTCCAACAGCCTAAACATTCATGGTTATCTTTCGTCCAACAGCCTAAACATTCATGGTTATCTTTCGTAGTCCTTGAGAACTTTTGGATTCAGAAATATCTCTGTGATAGACTAGATTGCTTATTAGCGTCATCCTTGACCGATCAATCCTAACAGAGGCATAAAATCATCTGACATGTTTGACATGCTAAACAATGATATGGATGTTATTATTATTCTAACAGCCTCTGCAATAGTTAAGAGATCCAGTAAAACAAGCTGAAGGGTTGAGGTGAGGCTAGTAAAACGAAGGTTAAAAGAGGATTCATGAATAAACATTCAAGCAGGTCTTACAAATAACCGAAACCCCACCTTGAGAAAGATATAATCGTCTGCTGTGGGTGGGGCACTGTTTTAATACATGGTGATGATACACAGTTTCTGTTGTCCAACCCTGATGGCACTTTGTCATCTTCAGGGGTTTTTGATGAAATCACTGTGGAGACAAAATGTGCAGTTTTAACTTTGATGTGTTTGGCAAATGCCACCTTGTTTTGCATATAACATGATTGGATCAAAATTCCAGGAAATAACAAACTGGAATGATTTTCCCAAGAATTCAACGTCCTCTAATCACTGTACTTAGGGGAAAAAATGACACTGTTTATTTGATCATTTATCATATTCTTAAATATTATTTTTAACAATATTAATGCCTCACTTGCTTGATGTTATTTCAGGACAAGCTACAAACATTCTCTAAAAAAAGGACAGCATTATGTATATTCCAGAGCTGTGTGAATACAGTTTTCCAGTGTTGTGGCCATGCTCAAGGCGATGGCATAAACCACCCACACTTTCCACATGGCAGACCAGTCTGAACCAGAGCTGTTTGTGCGACTGTGGACACTATGAAGGAAATTAAACATAAATCTTTCCAGAAATTCAATCAACCATTAACCAGAGCAAGAAGTTGATTTTATATAATGTTTTTATGATTACTGGAAAATTACACAATTTAATATATTTAAATGAAAGAAAAATGATGATTGGCATCATTAAAAAAAAAAATGCAATTCAAATTATGTTAGCATTAGGGGAATTGCATTGACATGTTTCAAATTGTACTTATCTGACCGTCATCAATTCGTAGCAGTAAATGAAGATGTCATATCGATCACAAGTTCAGTATGGAGTACCTCAAAGCTCACTACTGGGACCGTTGCTTTTTACCCTGTACATGATACCCTTGGGAGATAACATTAGAAAACATGTTAGTTTTCACTAGTTCTCACACCAATGCTGATGATAGATAGCCCTACATTTCTTTGCAGCTTGACCAAACTTACCAATTCATAATTGACATCAAAATTGGAAGATTAGTACTTTCCTACAACTAAATTCTGTTAATTACTGGGTCAAATCCTCCGTACGTAGTAACCTAGAATAATATCGAACACTTGATGGTAATTGATTGTTGATTCACTTTATAGTTATATAACCAAAATGAATCACTAAACTGATTTCAGCCGGACAATAACACTATGGTCTTTTTAGAGCTCCTTTAAAGAATTTAACTGCGTCGTTGAATCATCATTTCCTGTTATCACTGTAAAGCCGCTTAAAAACAATCTGTATTGTATTAAGCACAATGGAAATAATAGTGACTACTTGACAAAGCATGTAAACTTAATAATGCATGTATGATTACGGCAATATTGCACATTTTGATTGCTAATATATTTAAATGGCATATATATGATTGACAGCTATTACATGGAGCAATTTTTTAAATATATTTTAACAAATATGTAATACAAAGCATGTAAAATAGATAATGCATATATGATTACTTTAATAAATGTTGATTGCTTATATATTTAAATGACAAAACCTTTACTTGAATCACAGACTGGTTTATTAAATCACAAGTTTTATCAATAGATGAGCATGACATTACATAGTTAGTCACCACTGATATTGATATTGTAATGCTATCATGATGTCACAATGAAACCAGAACACAAAACTTATTTTCTGTAACATTATTACATTAAAATAAAGGACTCGGCTTTGAGGTAAATGTGTATTTTTGGGTCCAAGAATCTTCAGTCTGTCTGAGATCGGTTGACTTGGATTAGATACACTTTGGTTGCGAAGCAAAGGCACTTGCAAATCTGATAATATCCAATCATGAAAAATTAATAAGCTGCAAGAAGCAACTACAATGCAGCCACTTTGTATGACATTTGATTGATAGAACATAGTCTTAATCGTAACATTCAACACGTATTAAGCACTTTAAGAACATCCTTTGTGCATTATAAAATTAGACATGTAAAAATCAGACCACATGAACTCAAAGTTATAAGATATTTTACAATAAATTTTAAGAACATCTTTCCAAAATATCAGCGTTTATAAATATCGGTTCATAGCAAATGATAATCTAAATGACATTAAACATGAAAACTAATATAACAGCATGGCTTGCCATATTCTCAGTAGTTTTAAATGTTCTTACAGATACATTTGTAAAACTAAAAACTCAAGATAACTATTTACTGATTCTGTGCTTATGAAAGGACACATTCGTTCAAGACTGAATGAACGAGTATACAAGTTTTGACAACTAAAACAATCTGCTTTTCTATTAAAATAACCACCCTGATGTTCCTTTCCAAATTATAGAAAGCTTCATTGGAGAAAAAACAGGCGGAATATAGTAAATTTCACAAACCCTTCCTCGTTTCACATTCATTATATTCAATAAAACATTCTGCACTACATCAAAACCATCAAAAAGCAGAATGAGTCTATATGAGGAAATAACGACAGCAAGAACATCACAAACAATAGCTAAATAGCTAACAGCTAAAATCATGACAAATATTTACATAACTATCCAGTCCTATTTGGCCTCAATCAGTCATATAACTAAGGCATTATTAAGAAGACGGGACAAAATATATGCTACGACAACAAAAAGAGTGCTTGAACATTCGCTTCTAGATCAGTTTCAGGAAGTGCACTGTGTCTTTAAGAATTCGGATCTTGGAGAGCCATTCAGCTTGTCTGGCACAAGACACGCCCACTCAATCAGTTCAACTGTGCTTTAATTGGTGCCACAAGCTGTCAATCTATTAAATATATGTCAATTTTCCTTGCATTAATTGTTACGTTTTTCAACCAATGACTCTACAATGATTTACCGTACTTCCAAACGCTCGACGGATGAAGGTTGAGAAGGACGGATGGATGGATGTCACTCATGTGCGTTACATAATGCAGTGTTTATGCTGCTGATTTTGAGAGGGCATCAGAAACAGTTGAATCATGTCTGGAGAAAGCGTTTAAATTGGTTTAATTGGTAGGGGTGTCACACAACTTGTGGTTTGTGTTGTCACTCTTGGATGGAGTCTGCCGGTCTGAAGCAGTTCAGTACTTCCTGTAAGACAGAAGACACAGGTTACTTTGTTGGTGTCAACACATAAATAATGCTTGAGAGACTCTCGACAACCACTTCTGACTGAAAAACACATTCCTACCCATTTGTAATTATGGTGTGTGTGTGTGTGTGTGTTATAAGAAAACCAATTTTCTTCATAATTACAAATTGGCAGGAAATATATATTTTTTTTATTGCAGGGACAGGCAACTTCAATATATATATATATATATATATATATATATATAATGCCTACAATTTGACAGTAGGCAGCTCAACTGGTTTCACAACTATAAACTGATTTTTTTGTGGAAACAGTGATACTTTTATTTTTCAGGATTCTTGATGAATAGAAACTTCAAAAGAACAGCATTTATTTGAAATATAATATTTTGTAACATTATACATGTCTTTGCTGTCACTTTTGATAAATGTAATACCTTGCTGAATAAAATATTAAATCTTACTGTCGAATAGAAGTGTATTGCAGTTTCCACAAAAATATGAAGCAGCAACTGTTTTCAACACTAATATTAATCAGAAATTTTTCTTGATCAGAAAATCATCATATTAGAATGATTTCTGAAGGATCACATGACACTGAAGACTGGAGTAATGATGCTGAAAATTCAGCTTTGATCACAGGAATAAATCATATTTAACATATAATTAAACCTGGTTCTCGTTCAGTTCCTCATTCTCCTGTGCCTGAGGGAGTCGTGTGGAGGGTACGGCAGGAATGCTGGTTATCCGGGGCGGGTTGCCGACACTGAAGAGACGAGGTCGTTTGACTTGATCCTGACTAGACAGTGGCGTAAAGCTGTTTCTCCTCAGCAGAGTGGGCGGCAATTCTTGTCTGGAGCTTCCCTGATAACACACAAAGTAGGAGTTACGTATGTGGGTGACACTGTGACAAAGGCATGTTTATAAAGGGCTATAATGAGTCAAGGCTTCTTGCACCCAAATTTGATCCTTAGAATTAAACAGGCTGTTTCTGCTATTGAACCACTTAGACTTTTTAATATGTAAATGACATCTGTTGTGATTGGCTAACCGTTTTGCATGAAAAATTAAGGTGTTGATGTGTAAATGTGGGCGGTCATATAATAATGTACTCATGGTTTTTTTAACATCATCGAAGAGCCTGGTGGCCGGGCCTCCCCCCATGGGCTCAGCACCTGCAGAAGGGACCGTAAGGGGCTGGTGCGTAGTGGATCAGGTGGCAGTCGAAGGCGGGGGCCCCGACGACCCGATCTCTGGACACGGAAACTGGCTTTAGGGACGTGGAACATCAGCTTGCTGGCGGGGAAGAAGCCTGAGCTTGTGCGGGAGGTTGAGAGGTACCGACTAGAGATAGTCGGGATCACCTCCTTGCGCAGCTTGGGCTCTGGAACCACACTCCGTCAGAGTGGTAAAGAGTCCAGCCTCTCTCGAGTTGCCGGTGAGAGGCGGAGGGCTTGTGTGTGTTTGCTTATAGCCCCCCAACTTGGCCACCATGTGTTGGAGTTCACCCCGGTGAACGAGAGGATCGCTTCCCTGCGCCTTTGGGTTAGAGACAGGTCTCTCACTGTCATGTGTGCCTATGGGCCGAACAGCAGTGCAGAGTACCCATCCTTCTTCAGGGTATATGCAGGAATCTTGAAGTTAATTTTAATACCTTTTCAAGACTTTTTCAAGACCTTCTCAATATTTTTTAATACCTCGCTGCCACTTCAAGCTGTAACCATTTACATCAGTGATACTTTTAACTTAACAGTTTTAGTTTGTGATAAAGACTATAGACCACTCTGATAAAAAAATAAAATAAAATAGGCTGGGATAGTAAATCAAAGCAAAGTTTATTAAAAAACGAAACAAAACTTTGCTCCACCCTCAACAACAATCATGCTGACATGTGCCTCAGTTCTTCGTTTTGAAAAAAAAAAAAAAAATCTAAATTCACACACTTTTACGATGTTTTTGGGACTCAAACTGTTGGACAGCTAATTCAGAAAAAATTAGGGATGCACCGAAATGAAAATTCTTGGCCGAAACCGAAAAAAGAGGAACCCAAGGCCGAAAAAACGAAAACCGAAACACCGAAAGAAATTATGCCAATTATAAGTACCATTGCATTTATGGTTATGA